GTGTATGGCAAAAATTTGCTCCCAAAATGTATGCTCTCTCTTCACCTCCATGATTGTTTCTTTTGCTGAGAAGAAGCTTTTTAGTTTTAATCCATCCCATTTATTGATTCTTGATTTTATTTCTTGTGTTGTCTTGTTAAGGCAGTTGGGACCTAATCCAATGTGATGAAGATTTGGCCTATTTGGTTGTTTTAATAAATACAGGAATGTTGGTTATCAGTTAGATCTATTTTTAAAACTGTCTTCCTCAGACTGGGGTTGTGGCTCAGTGGGAGCTGGGGTTGTGGCTCAGTGGTAGAATGTTTTCCTTGCATGTGTGAGGCACTGGGTTCAATTCACTGCACCACATATAAATAAATGAATAAAATAAAGGTCCATCAACAAGTAAAAAAAATATATATATATTTAAAAAACTGTTTTCCTCATTTTTATTTATATATATATATATATATATATATATTTTTTTTTTTTTTTTTTTTTTTTTTTTTTTTAGGGGGAGACAGTACTAGGGATTGAACTCAGGGCACTTGACCACTGAGCCACATCTCCAGCCCTATTTTATATTTTGTGACAGGGTCTCACTAAGTTGCTTAGCACCTTGACGTTACTGAGGCTGGCTTTGAACTCACAATCCTCCTGTCTCAGCCTCCCAAGCTGCTGGGATTATAGGTGTGCACCACCACACCTGGCCTTCATTCTTTTCTTCTAATTTTATTTATTTATTTTGGTACCCAAATTGAACCCAGGGGCATTTAACTGCTGAGCCACATCCCCAGCCCATTTTTATTTTTATTTTTAAATTTTGAGACAGGGTCTCACTCAATTGTTTACTGTCTCACTAAATTACTGAGGTTGGCTTTGAACCTGCGATCCTCCTGCCTCAGCCTTCCTATTACTAGGACAGATAATGTGTACAGTCTCAATGATATCATAATATTTTGTTGCCAGGCATGATGGTGCATGCCTGTTGTAATCCCAGCAGCTTGGGAGGCTGAGGCAGGAAGATCAGGAGTTCAAAGCCAGCCTCAGCAATTCTATAATACAAAAAAAAGGGCTGAGAATGTGGCTCAGTGGTTAAGTGTCCCTGGGTTCATTCCCAGTACCCAAAAAAGAAAACAAAAAAAATGTAATATACACATTGTTATAGTTGCTGTTTCTTTCTCTATGAGAGATATATGAGTTACTCTTCTATTTTTAAAAATATTGAATGTAGCTTGGTATTTGTTCTAATAGTTTTACCTTCACACTTAACCCTTTTTTATAAAATATCTTTATTTTTTATTTATTTATCTTTATATGGTGCTGAGGCTCAAACCCAGTACCTCACATGTGCTAGGCAAATAAATAAATAAATAGATAGATAAACTAAATAAATTAAAAATAGGTCTTTCTGGGGAATTTTTCTTTGCATTTGTAAATGCTGAATTCACATTTAGTATGGAATCAGCCTATCCACACAGTGCACCCATTTAAAGTGTACACTTCAGTAGTTTTTAGTACAGTCATAGAGTTGTGCAACCATCACCACAGTCTAATTTTTCAAACTGTTTTCCAAAGTGTCTGTATCATTTTACATTCCCATCAGCAGTGTATGAGAGTTTGGATATCACAACATCCTTCAAACAATTGTTATTTTAAATTTCTTCATTGACACCCCTCCAGGAAACCCTGCACACAGTAGCCATCACTCTCTATATCCCTATTCCCTCCCCCGCCAACCCAAGAAACCATAGACTACTTTCTATTTCTATGGATTTGCCTATTCTGGATATATTTCACATAAATGTTATCATACAATATATGGACTTTTTAAAAATACTCTTTTTTTTAATACCTTTATTTCATTTGTTTTATTTTTATGTGGTGCTGGGAATCGAACTCAGTATCTCATGCATACTAGGCAAGTGCTCTATCACTGAGCCACAACCCCAGCCCTGGACTTTTTAAAAAATATATATTTTTAGTTGTAGATGGACACAATGCTTTATTTTGTTTATTTAGTTTTATATGGTGGTGGGGCTCTAACCCAGGGCCTCACACATGCTAGGCAAGTGCTCTACCACTGAGCTACAACCCCAGCCCAGACTTTTGTGACTGGCTTCTTAGCATAATGTTTTCAAAGTTCATCCATGTTGTAGTATGTACTAGTACTTCATTCCTTCTTATAGTTAAATAATATTTCATTGTATGAGTATAGCACAATTTGTTCATTCATTCATTTCTCAGTGTATGTTTGGGTTGTTTATACCTTTTGGCTATTATAAATTTGCTCCTATGAACATTTCTATACCACTTTTTATATAGACTTATGTTTTCATTTCTCTTGGGTATATACCTAGATGGTGAATAGTCAGGCCATATGGTAACTTTATGTTTAACTTTGAAACTGCCAAACTGTTTTCCAAAGTGGCTGTGCCATTTTACATTCCCACCAGTGATGTATGAGAATTCCATTATCTCTATATCTTTGAAAGACTTGTTATAATCTTTTTTTTTTAATTTTTTTTAGTTGTGAATGAGCACAATACCTTTTTTTGTTTGCTGGGGATCGAACCCAGTGCCTCACACATGCTAGGCACATGCTCTACCACTGAGCCACAACTCTGGCCCATAATCTGTCTTTTTAAAAAAATATATGCCTTTTTTTAAATTTATTTTTTTATGTGGTGCTGAGGATTGAACCCAGTGCCTCACACATGCTAGGTAGGCGCTCTACCTCCGACCCACAACCCCAGCCCCTAATCTGTCTTTTTGATTATAATTGTCCTCATGGTTGTGAAGTGGCACCTATTACTTTTTGATTTGCATTTCACTAGTGACTAGTGATGTTATATGCTTACGAGACATTTTTTTTTTTTTAAGAGAGAGAATTTTTTAATATTTATTTTCTAGTTTTCAGTGGACACAACATTTTTATTTTATTTCCATGTGGTGCTGAGGATTGAACCCAGAGCCCCACGCATGCCAGGAGAGCGCGCCACTACTTGAGCCACATCCCCAGCCCAACTTACGAGACATTTTTATGTCTTATTTTTAACTTTGGTCAGTTTTTTTTTTAGTTGTAGATGGACACAGTATCTTTATTTATTTATCTTTATGTGGTGCTGAGGATCGAACCCAGGGCCTCACACATGCTAGGTGAGTACTCTACCACTGAGGCACAACCCCAGCCCTGTTCATTTTTAATTTGTTTCTTTGCTTGCAATATTGGGGATTGAACCCAGGACTTCATACACGCTAGGCAAGCATTTTACCACTCACTGAGCCACATCCCTAGCCCTTATTATTTTTTGAGACAGGGCCTCACTAAGTTGCTAAGGCTGGTCTTGAACTTGCAATCCTCCTGTCTCAGCCTCTTGAGTGCCTGAGATTATAGGCATGCACCACTGTGCCTGGCTTTCTTTTCACTTTCTTGATGCCATCCTTTATTACATAAACATTTTGAATTTTGATGATACCCAGTTTACATATCATTTTCTTTTGTCGCATGTGTTTTAGGTGCCATATCTTAAAAACCATTGCCTGATCCAGGGTCACAAAGATGATATTTTTTATGTTTTCTTGTAAGTTTTCTATATTTAGCTCTCACATTTAGGTCTTTGAACCATTTTGAATTAACTTTTTAAGAAAATTTTTTTTTTAGTTGTAGATGGACACAACACCTTTCCTTTACTTTATTTATTTATTTTTATGTGGTGCTGAGTATCGAACCCAGTGCCTCACACGTGTGAGGTGAGTACTCTACCACCAAGCCACAACCCCAGGCCTTGAGTTAATTTTTATGTATGGTGTAAGCTTAAGCCAAACTTTATTCTTTTGCTTATGAATATCCAGTTGTCTCAGCATTGCATGTTGATTTGTTTAACCTCTTAGTATCTAGTATATTACTTTACCCCCAATATCCTTAAAATCTGTCCATTGCCTACATGGCCAGTGAAGCTATTTCTGTCATTCCTCTTTTCTCTTTTTCTTCTCATTTTTTATTGCAATATTTCTACTCTGTCACAAATGCAACAATTTTTAATATTTTTTTTAGTTGTAGTTGGACACAGTACCTTTATTTTATTTATTTTTTTGTGGTGCTGAGGATCAAATCCAGGGCCTTGCATGTGCTAGGCAAGTGCTCAACCACTGAGCCACAACCCCAGACCGCAAATGCAATGATTTTACATTAGTCTCCCACCCTTATCCTCATCTTTCTTTTAGTGTTTTACATGTATGTTTGCATATATATGTGTGTGTGCGTGTGCGTGTGTGTGTGTGTGTATGCATGCTGGGGATTGAACACAGGGCCTCACACATCCTATAAATACATTCTACCACTGAGCTACACCCTTAACCCCTACACACACACACACAAACTTTGTACCAGGGATTGAACCCAAGGGCACTTAACCACTGAGCCACATCCCCAGCCCTTTTTATTTTTTTGAGACAGGGTGTCACTAAGTTGCTGAGACTGATTTTGAACTTGTAATCCTCCTGCCTCAGTCTCTCAAGTCTCTGGGATTACAGATGTGTGCCATTGTGCCTGGCTCATATTTTTATGTGCTCACTCTCAGTCCTTTTGCTGTCTTTCCGCAGTCATAGTTTGGTTGGATGAGGTTTGTATCTCTGGCTCATTTTCTAGATTTGTCAGGAAGAGCTAGTAAGTGCTGAATTCCCTATGTTCTTTTATGTTGAAAATTACTTTTCTGTCACCATAATATTTGAGGGATATCTTGGCTGATATAAAATCTTTGGTTTATACTTGCTTTCATTGAGTTACTTTTTTTTCCCTAGTCCTGGGATTTGAACCCAGGACCTCACATATGCTAGACAAGCACCCTGCCCAAGCCCCCAAGTTTGTTCGTTTGTTTGTCTTTAATGCTCTGTTTTTCCACCTTGCTTTGTGTTTTGGTTTTGAAAAATCTGATGATGGTCTTATTCTTTTAGATTTTTAAGTTATTTTTTGCTTGGGAATCTTGATGATTTTATCTTTATCTTTTTAAATCTTCACCATGTTGGTTCCATTGTGATATATTTAACAACTCCTCCTTAAAAAGCCATGGGCTACATTTTTGTATTGTATCAACGTATGCCCTGATTGTTCTTGATTTTACTGAGATGCCTCCTTCCTCTAACAATTTACTTAACACTCTTTCAGTTTGTTTTTTACTAATTTCTGATCCCGTATTTCTACTATAATACAACCCAACAAGATGACGCCAAACAAAACCGAGACAGAATAAAATAAAAAGGGAACAACAAAAAGTCATTATAGCCTTTCTATCCTCCTGACATGTGTATCCATCCTTTCTCCCTATCTGTTCCTCAGACGTAAATAGTTTTTCCTCAGATGTGAGCGGTTTTTCTTCCGTCTCACTCATCTCCAGGGACAGGCAACTTAAAACAAAAGTGAAGCAAAATAAAAGAGGAATCTTAAAATGGCTACCCATCCTCTCGCCCTGCCCTCAGGGGCGAGCAGTTTCACTTACCCTCAGTCGCTCCCCATGCGAGCCACCAAATGCCGCAGTCTGGCTGGGCACAATCAGGAGCCACTTGTCAAAAGAAACTAACTTTATTTTTAGAACCACACACGCCAAACAAAACAGCCTCTCAGGAAAAACCCTCAGAGCCTCAACTGCCACCACCGGCTTTCCACAAGCCTCTCTCTCCCACCCAAGCTTCTCTCCACCTCCCACAATCCTCCTGCTCTTGAAGCCGATTGGCTGGGTCACGTGGGCGGAGCCAAAAAAGTCCCCCAATGAGCAGCTCCGTGGTCTGAAAGGGCAGGGAAACAGCCCAATGAGCATCACCGCAGAGGAGCCAATCAGCTAGATGTTGCTGGGGCCGAGGAGCCAATCAGCTAGATGTTGCTGGGGCCGCTGTGAGCCAATCATCAGCCAGCAGCTGGAAGTTTGCTGGCAGCTGGAAGTTTGCTGGGGCCCCTTTGGCTGTGGCTCTCAACAGTAACTGGTGAGTCCTTTAATGTGTAGATTGGGTATATAAGGTATTTTTCCATTTCTGGAAAGTTTTCTTGAATTATAGTTTTAAATGTTAGTTCAATTCTGTAATATTATTTTTCTTTAAGGGCTATAATAATACACATATTCCTTATTTACCTCAGTTCCTACTGGGTTATCTCTTTTCCTCTCCTCCCTTAGTGTCATTTTTATTTTCTTGGTTTCCTGTCTTCCTTTTATGTATCTTATTAAATTTTTTATTCTTCCCTTTAGCACTTTGTAATTTAGTCTTCACGTTTGAGATGATTTAAATCATCTTTTTATTCCACTTTTTTTTCCTTGAGTTCAGTTAACTTTTTTTCCTTTCATTTCTTTCTGCTTTTTGTTTGTGTGGCTTTGGTCTCTTTCTTTGTTTGGGTTTTTTTTTTTAATATTTTTTTAGTTGTAGATGGACACAATACCTTTATTTATTTTTATGTGGTGCTGAGGATCGAACCCAGTGCCTCCACATGTGCATGGTGCACACTCTACCACTGAGCCACAACCCCAGCCCTCTTTCTTTGTTTTGTTTGTTTAAGACAGTGTCTCATTGTGTTGCTTGAGTTTGTCTGGAATTCCTGGATTCAAGTGATCTTACTGCTGGCCACCCAAGTGCTGAGACTATGGGTGCTTGCATCACCATGCCTGGCTTGGTCTATTTCTGTTGTTAGGGGGTTGTATTTGTTTGGTCATTTGCAGTGTTGGGGATGGAACCCAGGGCCTCAAGTGTGCTAGGTAGGTGTTCTACCACTGAGCTACATCTCCAGTCCCGTTCTTAGTTTTTAATTTCTAACTCAAATCTCAAAAACTTTTGAATATACAGTATTTAAGTCTGTTTGACACGCAGACTTAGTTTTCTCCTGCTTCATGTTTATTTGTGAGAGGAATATTCCTTAGGTGAGAAATTCTCTTTTTGCCTGTCATCACATACGTACCATCAGACTTTACAATTTTTGTAAATCTCATGCCTATGAGGCAATAGCTTGTTATTTTATTTCCTGGATTCTTAGTAAAGTTGAGTATATTTCTATATATTTATTAGACACTTGTGTTTCCTTTTTTTTGAGAACTAGAAGGATGGAGCTGCCATTTGCTGAGATGGAACAGACTGTAGGAGGAGAAGATTTGGGAGGGAAGTCAGGAATTTGCTCTTGGATATACTTACAGCATCCAACTCAAGTTGCAAGACTGGAGTCAGAGCATAGGTGAGGGTGGAGATAGAAACCTCAAGTTTTCTAGTTTATAGGGTATTTAAAACCATGGGACTGATTTAGAGTATAGACTGGGGAGAAAGTGTAGGCTGTGAGAAGGCCAGACTGAAGTCAGTCAGTCAGAAGGAGATTGGGTTCATTATGAAGGGTCAGGGGTGGAAAGGGGGGACTTGAGGAGAATCTGGCAAAAGAGACAGAAGGGATTCTTATGAAGGTAGGAGAAAAACCAGGAAAGTATAGTATATTTGGATCCAAGTGAAGAAAATGTTTCGAAAAGGAAAGTGTGTTCAATGCCTTTGGTAGGTCAAGGAGGAGGAGGGAAAGGAGAATAACGACTGGAGTTGGCAACATGGATTTCATTAGTGATTTTGGCTAGAGAAGTTTGCTTCAATGATGGGGTGGAAGCCAGGTTGAGGAAGAGGACAGCAAGAAGGGACTAAGAAAGACTGGAGACAATGACTGTAACACATAGAAAGTCCTTTTGTAAAATTTGGTTGTTGAGGGAGAGGTAGGGTGGTAGCCCCAGGTGGGTATGGTTCCATAGAGATGGGAGAATTATGCAAGGTTGTGTGATGATAGAAGGGATATAATGGAGAAGGGAAAGGGATATTGTGGGAGGAAGTGAATTGGTGGAGCTGGGTCCTTCAGCTGGGAAGGGTGGGTGTCCAGTGTCCTCCTGGTAAGGTTGGCTTCTTTTAGCACATGCATCCTCTTCAGTATCCTCCTGGAAAGCATGACTCTGCTGTCCAAGTGTCTCCTTTCTACATTCAGGGGCACACAGGTTCTTTCACTGCTCCTGCCCCTTTATCTTCAGTAGCAATATTATTGAATTTACTTTTTGTTATTGACATCTTCCTCCAAGTTATAAATCTTGGCTGTTTTCTTTTCTCTTAAAGCTCTGGTCCCTTTGATTAAATTTGCTTTTAACAAGTATGTTAAGTTTGTTTTTTTTTTTAATATTTAATTTTCAGTTTTCGGTGGACACAACATCTTTATTTTATGTGGTGCTGAGGATCGAACCCAGCACCCCACGCATGCCAGGCGAGCGTGGTAACGCTTGAGCCACATCCCCAGCCCAAGTATGTTAAGTTTAAATCAGGGATCAGCAAACTTTTTCTCTAAAGGGCCAGATAATACTTCATGTTTTGTGAGCCATATACAATTCTGTCGCTGCTACTTCTTTTATCTTCATCTTCATGGTCATCTTCGACCTTTTAAAAATGTAAAAACCATTCTTAGTTCAGGATGTACATTTAAATTAATCTGTCTCTCTTATCCATTAATCTCTAGAACTAGTACTTTTTGTTAAAACTGATGTGTACTAAATAATTGCTAAGTTAATATTTTTAAAATAGTTTTATTGAGATATAGTATATTGTTTAAAGTGAGCAATCAGATGGTCTTTGGTATTTTTTGCAGTTTTACAACCATTTCCATAATATGTTATCTTAATTTTAGAACAGTTTCATCACCCCAAAGCTACTTTTTTTACAGCTATAAGGTATAATTTATATGCAATAAAAATTACCCATTTTTGAGTAGTATGAATTTTATAAAGCTAATTTTAATATTATCCAAAAGGAAATATTCTTAGGGATAAAACTTCTTTTATCACATGCAATAAATATGACTTGTAAACATTACTCCTAAGTGATCTCCACTTTTGCCCCCAAGCCAGTGAATGATTCTATAGTCCCTGGAGCAGCAACATCCACATCACCTGGGAACTTGCTGGAATCATGGCCCACTTTAGGCCCAGAAATCTGTATTTTAATCAACCCTCTGGGTAATTTGAGTGCATACTATAAAGTTTGACAACCACTGCTCCAAGGTTCTTCCTGTGTGGAATTGCTGAGTTGTGGGATATGGGCATGTTCAACTTTATTGGATATTACCATACTGCTTCCAAAGTAGTTATACTTGTATATATTTGTCCTAGGAGTATATGAGAATTCCTATTGTTTTATATCCTTTCCAACACTCCAGAAAAACAACTTAAAAGTTTTTTGGTCAATCTGACAGGCAAGAAGTGGCTATGATCTTAACTGGCATTTTCCCAATTACTAATAGTTTGTCCATCTATGAGATGGGCTATTTGAATTTTGTATTCTGTGGTATGCTATTTGGAGTCCTTTGCCTATTGAAATAAATAAAATTATGTAAATAAATAGTGTGTTAGGGCTGGGGTTGTAACTCAGTGGTAGAGGGTTTGCCTTGCATGCATGGATTCAATCCTCAGCACCACATAAAAAATAAAGATTAAAAAATAGTGTATTAAAATCATCACAGAACCAACCCAGAATTCCCAAGGCAAAAGAAATTAGGCAGGGGTGCAGGGGAACCAGGGAAGAATCCCAGGGGAGATGATGGTCAAGTGGTCCTGAAAGGATAGGAATTTGTTAGACAGACTGAGGCAAGGCCATCTGTGTGGTAGGAACAGCATGCCTGATCAGGAAAGCAAGTAGTATGGTGTGGTAGACTAGTAGGGTACCTGGAGGAAAAGAGTCCCATAGGGCTAGGAAAAAAGGTAGAAAGCAATTAGGTGTAAGTGCAACTGAAATTACTACATCAAAATAAAGGAAGTATGATTAATATCATAGTTTTCTTACATGTTTCAAGGTTACCCTCCATCAGACATTAGGGACATACAAATCAAAACCACACTGAGATACCATGCCATATGCACTAGGATGGTCTTTGGTTTAGTTTAGTGTCCCCCAAAGATCCATGTGTTGAAGCCTTAGTCTTTAGTGTGGCACTATTTATTGTACGTTAATGGAACCCACAGGAGGTGGGGCCTAATGGGAGCTCCTTCCATCGTTTGGGTTATGTCTTTGAAGGGCATTGCGGAACCTCTTTTGCTTCTTGGCCATGAGATCAACAGTTTGCTCCATCATATGCTTCCTATTCTTGCTGTCCTCATGTCCTCAGAGGCCCAAAGCAATGGGCTTCCCCAATCTTGGATAGGAAACCCTCAAAATATGAGCCAAAATAACCCTTTTCAGTTTATAAGTTAGTTATCTCGGGTCTTGTTATAGTGATGGAGAATGGACTAACACAGGTGACTATAATAAAAAAATATAATAATAAATGGTGGTGAGGATATAGAAAAATTAGAAACCTCATAACTGCTGGTGGGAAAGTAAAATGGCACAGCAACTTTGGAAAAGTTTGGTATTTCCTGAAAAAGTTAAAAACAGATTTACCATATGACCAGGCAGTTTCACTCCTAGATATATAGGAAGTGAAAATATATGTCCACACAAAAACCTGAACAGAAGTATTTATGGAAGCATCATTCATAATAGCCAAAAGGTGGAAACAACCTAAATGTGTAATTAAAGGTGAATGAATGAACAAAATGTGGTATATCCATATAGTAGAATATTATTCAACCATAAAAAGAAACAAAGTACTGACAGATGCTGTAACATGGATGAACCTTGAAAATGTTATGCCAAGAAGCCAGTCACAAAAGACTACATATTGTGTGATTCTATGGTGTGGTAGACTAGTAGGGGTACCTATGTGAAATTTCCTGAATAGGCAAATCCATAGAAATAGAAAGTAGATTAGAGGTTGACAGGGGCCAAGTTGGGAAAGGAGTGTAAAATTACTGCTAGTGGGATTTCTTTTATGGGTATGCAATATTCTAAAATTAGATGGTGTACATCCTTGTGAATATCCTAAAAACCACTGAATTGTATACTTCAAATGGGTTAAATTTTTGTCATTGAAATTATATCTGAATAGATTATTTTGTTAATAAAGTAAAATGAAAATAAATTTCAACCTCCCCATATTTTGTTTTCTTACCATTATCATAGTATTTTCTATTTACCCTGTGCCCCACATCTTTTTTAACTTATATTTACACAATAACAGTTGTACTTTTTATATTGGTGGAAAACCTACAGTGACAAGTTATTTATATTTTAATAATTACCACAGTATCTTCAGAAATTTGCAGCATAGAGGTACATAATATATGAGACGTATGGTTATCCATTCCGTAGTCTGTGCATAGTGACTGTATGATTATTCATGGATGCATGGCAACGATTTTGAAAGCTACTAGGGATTTGGAGCCACTAAGTTGGGAACTACTTAATTATAAATCAGAAGTGAGATATAAATAATGGCTAGTATGGAAAATTATACTCCAATTATGTATTTTCAAAATTCAGTTCCTGAAGTGATCAGTTTCTTTTAAATACTGAAGATTGCTTAAAATTTCCAGTTTAGAAGTGACTTTTAAAATGTACTTATTTGGATTGTGGATGTAGCTCAGTGGTAGTGCTCATGCATAGCATGTGTGAGGCCCTGGGTTCAGACCCCAGCACCCACCCCCAAAAGAGAAGAAGAAGAAACATCGTAGGAAAAAAATCAGAAGTAAACTAAATGTCTAGTAATGCCTAATTAAGTTTTGGGTATGTTTATCTGTTGGAAAATTAGGCAGCAATTGAGTATTATAATTAAGAATTGTAGTTCTTGTAATCTAGCAATTTAAAAACAGGATATATTATCATGTATCTCTAAACATTTTGACTGTGATTACATGAAGTGTTTATGTACATAGCAAAAGACAGGAAGGTAGTAATGGTTGTATTCAAATAGAGGAACTCTGGGTTTATTTTTCTTCTTTTTGGAATACTTACTTAGCAGTTGGTATGCGCAAAACATAATAACCTCTTTTCATGATTTAACTCAGAGGTCATCAAATTATAGTGAATTTGGCCTGCCAGGCCTATTTTTCTTTGGTCTTTGAGCTAAAAATCATTTTTACATTTTTATTTTTTAAACTAATTTTAACAATATAGCATATTTAACCCAATATACCCCAATAATAATTTTAACATGATAAATATTTAAAAATATATTAATGATATATTTTTTTAACCAGGTCTTTGAAATTAGATGTGTTTAATACTTACAGCACATCTCAAAGTGATCTAGTCGTGGCTTTACATTTTTTTAAAAATATTTATTTATTTATTAGTTATCGGTGGACACAACATCTTTGTTTGTATGTGGTGCTGAGGATCAAACCGGGGCCGCACGCATGCCAGGCGAGTGCACTACCGCTTGAGCCACATCCCCAGCCCCAGCTTTACATTTAAAAAAAAATTTTTTTAGTTGTTTAATAGATCTTTATTTATTTATATGTGGTGTTGAGACTCAAACCCAGTGCCTCACACATGCCCGGCAAGTGCACTATCCCTTAGCCCCAGCCCCATGGCTTTACATTTTTTTTAAATATTTATTTTTTAGTTGTAGTTGGACACATTACCTTTATTTATTTATTTCTATGTGGTGCAGAGGATCGAACTCGGCCTCGCACATGCTAGGCAAGCACTCTGCCATGGCTTTACATTTTTAAGGAGTTATTTTTTCTAAAAGAGAAGGAACAAATTCGACAAAGACCTTAAATTGTCTAAAAAGTCTAAAATAATCACAATGTGGTGCTTAACAGAAAATTTGCTGATCCTTGATTTTATTCATTTTATCCTGACAGCATTCCAATAAGGTGGGTGCTATTATTATCATCCCTATTTTACAGATGGGAAAACAGAAGCACAAAGGGGTTAAGTAACTTTCTCTTGGTCACATTCACCATGTTTTAGAACAGATTGCAGGCTCATTTCTATAAACTTGCTAATATTGTGTTTCTTTGCAGTGTAAAAAGTGGATAGTGGCTCACGTGTCAAAGGATGGCACGGTCACGATCTAGATCGCCCAGGTGGAAACACAGGTGAGCAGTTCTTAGTTTAGCAGAGTAAGCAACTTGGAGTTGGGATGTGCTATGATTTTGAAATTCACCAGTACTAGTTTAAAATCTATTTAAATAAACTCATGGGACTTGGTTATTCACAGTAGGTGATTTATCATGGTAGAGGTTGTATTTCTAGATTCTAAGAGCTGACAGTTTAATTATTGGCATCTAGGATTAATTTATAATAAAAAGAAATGGAATGGTCACAGCAAGGGAGAGTGAGAAACATCTTTGAGAGTGTTACATTTTTTAAAAATTCACGTGTGGTTCAGAACTCTTCTATGTGTGTTTTATCTTATTTTTTCATAATCTATGTGTTTGAAGAAATGTAGAATCAGAAAATAAGGAGGTTCTAGTTTCTTCTTCATGGCAGAATAATAGTTTTGAAGAGCCCAATTGTATTTCAACTCCCCTCTTTTCTGGTGGGTAGTATCAACAGTATATATATGCATAGACTGGAACAGTTCAATGTCTATTGTACATCTGCTACAGCCAGGTTCTGGGGCTTCCATCTTCAGTGGCCTCAGTAGGTATACGGGCTGGCTGGAGAGACCGACATGATAGCCAGCTATGACCCGGTAGGAATGGGACAAAGCCTTCTGGATCTACAGGGAGAGAATAATTCTGTGTCTGTGGAGGGAACTAAGAAAGTCTTTAAAAAAGAGGTGATAATTTTAGCTGGACATTGAAGGATAGGTAAAATTTTTAAAGGTAGAAAGAGTGAATCAAGTATTCTGGTTAAGGGGGAGAAGAAAAGCAAATGCATAGATCAGTAAATGCAGTTAGTTTGTCTTGGGACTTTTAAAAAGGACCATATTCATATACGTAAGAGGCAGGCCGAGATTTTCATGTTAATGTACCTTGGCCACTGTGCTTGTTCATTTTGACAGTGTAGTGACTAATCAATCAGTTTTTCAACAGTTTTCATTTTGTAATCCACAAGACCAAATTGTAATGGGGGAAGATCTTCAGAAAGAAAAGGGAATACAAAGAAACAAAGGATTTGAACGTGGAAGGTATCACAGAGGTTGTTTTGTTTCACCCTTTTGTGTTAGGTTCTGATGAGGGACACAAGAGACCCTGGGAAGCTTAGGGAGAGCCTGATTTCTGGATTTCTTCTTAGGTTTCTTTGTCAAGAACTATAAAGGGGAAAAAAAAAAACAACTATAAAGGGTCTGATATTTTATTCTACCTGCAGGCTAGTGTGTTAGCTTGCCACAAAGCATTCCTGGGTCAGAGACAAAGGCCCTTATTACTCATACTACAGTAGGCAGTTTGAGCTTTAAGTTCCTATTGTACGCCCTACCCTCTAGGTCTCCTGAGGGCCAGCACTATGAAGTAGCTGGCTAGGTGAATGATGCAAAGCAGTGGGATTACCCATTGTCTTTGCCAACAATGGAATTTTGGCATAACTGAAGAACCTGAGTTTCCTATGAATAGCTGTAGGCAAAGCCCCCAGCCTTTACCTTGGAGGAGACATTATCTTATTATTCTGGGCAGCAAACAAACCAGCCCTCAGTCCCTGAGGGAGTCTCTGTCTCTATTTCCAAGGCTGTTTTCCTTGAAACAAAAGCTGTCAGTGCCTCTGCTCACAAGACTTGCCTTGCTGAACTCCAGAGACTAAAGAACTAACTCTCCCCCAACAGACTCCAGTTTTCTTTTGTCCCTTTAGGAGAATCAAATATGGTAACAACCTTTCCAGCAACCTCCAGAAGAAAGGGGTGCTATATAATAAAATATGATATAAAATATAGTCTCAAAGCAGTTTTTAATGTGAAATGAGGGTACTTTAAGATCTTGAGTATTTTCTTCAGTCTGCAAGGTTTCTGCCTCAGACTACCAGCTTTTCTCCTTGGTAGTGAAAGAGATGGACTCTTCCATTTAAAGACTTCTTGTGATGAGGTAAAGCCAGCTAGATGGCAGAGATTCGTTTCAATGAAATAATACCAATATATCCAGCTTGGTGACTCCAGAGGGAAATAATTGCCAAGTCTAGTATATATGTCCCAGTAGGTACCCAAATAAGATAGATCTGCTTCCTTTAATGTATGGAAAACACAGACTTGTCACTAAAAGGAAAAAGGTCACTCATGGTTGCTCCAACTCTGTGGTACCTTCTGAGAAGGGATGATTTTTTAAAAAACTGCAAAAGAGGCTTCCTCATTGATGAGAAGACATTAAACCTTCAGAAAGGAGATTGAGGCAGGTCAGACTGGTTAATGTCCTCGGGTGCAAAATTGAATTTTATTGTGTTCCAGATAGTGGTGCTCCTCTCTCTGATAAGGCTGGGGAACCCAGACTGGTTTCCCTGGATACAGGAGCCTTCCTCCTCAGTGGGAATACAAGGCTTCATGTTGGCAAGGCTGAGGTACTAGAGAAGGTAGAAACAGAAGGCATGTGTTGTCCCTGGAGACTATTGTAGTTGCATTAAAGCACACTTTCACCAAAGTTAACAAGCTGTTTGAACAGCACATCTTTTAGTTGATATATAAGGGAGCAGGAGTGGGAAAGAAAAGCAACTTATCTGTGATAGAAGTACTTAGAGCAAAACTGAACCTAAGATTCAAGTCTTAAGACTTTTCTGTCCCCTCTCCCTGCCACCTGTTAAGTGTATGTCTCTTATTGATACAGCTTTAGGAAAGAGAATAGACGATCAGTTGGAAAAACTATGGGGTCAATAAGGTGTCTGAGTTTGGGTTGTAACATCATTGGATCTTAGAATCTAACTTAATTTCAGAGGCTGGGTTTGATTTTTTTCAGACACTCTCATACATGTTTATTCGTGTTGATCTACTGTTTCTGCTTATTTCTTACTTGGCCATTGACTCTGATACAAGCTTTTGCTGATCAGCCCTTTGAAGTCACTGTATCTTTTTTTGCCAGTACTTTGCTATTAACAATCTTCCAAAATAGATCTTGCCTTGAATCTAAGCTGGTCCTGCTTTAGTAGGATGGGTGTACTCAGCCCATTTTGACATGCATATGGAATACATTGGTTCAGATGGAAAGAGTGTTGTCAAATTGGGCAGTACTATTATCAGACCCCCCCTCCATGTACAATTCAAAATGTATATATGTAGCAAATTGATGAATTTAGTTTGAGTAAGAGAATCAGTGGCATTTTAGGAAAGGCAAATGTTTTAGGTAGGACGTATTAAGACAAAGAGTTTATTGTCTTAAAATGGGCTAAACTTTTCTGTGTTTGTTTACATAGGTCTTTATCACCAGTACCTAGAAATTTTGAATACTACAAGCAAAGATATTCTCATGGGCATTATGACTGTGAATATAGAAAATATCCGAAAAGACCTGTTGCTTGGAGAATGGACAGTGAGAAACATGAACAGAATAAACAAAGAATTCCCCCTCGTGGAAATCTATATTACCGATCTTATGAACATAGATCACCTTCCCCCGAGATAAGAAACTCTGTAGAAAATTTTTACACATATAATCCTCACCGAGTGTATTCACCAGGAAGAGGGGATGGTAACAGAAGATCTCAGTATATACCCACATACTCAGAGGGTGTACCCTACATAGAGCATGAGAGGAATTGTTATCCCCAGAAAATGCAAGGAAGGTATATTCCTGATGACCGCAGAGTTAGAGGAAGTGGGAGAAGAGGGAAACCACCTCAGAGGTCAATAGCAGATTCCTTTAGATTTGAAGGGAAGTGGCATGAAGATGAGTTGAGGCACCAGAGGATGCAAGAAGAAAAATATTCCCAGTCACCTAGAAGAGGCTCAGAAGACTTTGACACAAGGAGCTCTTTTCAGAAGAGGTATAGGAAAACATTAAACCTGGGTAATTTGGTATATAAAGCCTCAAGTGAAAAGTCTGTTTACTTTATGGTTGAAGATAACCACCTTGAAAAGCTTTTGTTTAAAAAAGATAAAAAGCATTGTAATATAGTTGTAGTCTACTGGTAGTAGTAGTGAAATTATTTCTTTTTAGAGTAAATCATGTTGTTAGCTAAAATGTTTAAAAAGATGGTATTTTCCTGTATAACTACCTTGTGCCTCTATGCAGGCTTGTGGTATTATAGGTTATCTTTACAACTGTGTTCTACATTTAAAGCCATGCTGCCCAACATTCTACACATATAAATTCTTACTTTCTTCTCTGTAGTGCAAGTGTAAACTGCTTTATGTCAACACAGGTATCCTGAGGATCGTGATTTCAGAAAATATGGACACACATCAAAAAGACCTAAAGACGTGGCGAGGTATGAGAACAGAGAGCCTGCCAGAAACCCAAAGTGGAAGCCTGAGCATTTTCCTCCACCTTACCAAGAAAAGAAAGATCAGCGTAATTTTGGACCTCAAACTCACCGATATGCTGAGAGGGACTATCCAGAGACCAGTTCAGCAACCAAAGTGTCCTATGACTATTGCCACAAGCATCATAAGCTCTCAGAAGGTGACCAGGACTTTTCTGATGGGAGAAATCAGAAATACTTGAAAGAAGAAGATAGAAAACACAGTTCTCAAAAAGGCCCTATAGGTAGAGAGTCAGATTGTTTTAATGCCGGAAGAGGGAGAGAGACTGAAGATGGGCAAGTCAAAGAACTTTTTAAACCATCTAAGAAAGACTCAGCGGCCTATACTCATTCAAATAAAAATGAGGTTGATTTGAAGCCCTGTAATGACAAACGAAAGAAAAAAATAAAGAAAGAAGGGGAATTCAAAAAGGAGAGCAACTCCTCCAGTAACCAACCTGATACAAGTCAAAAACTTTCCAATGTGAAACACTCGTCTGTCAATATTAAGAAGAAATCACTTACAGTTAAAGTAGATGTGAAGAAAACAGTAGATACATTCAGGTATTATCTTCATTTTTCTTTATGATGTTTAATAAATGTTTCTGCCACTTCTTTTTGCAGCTTCAAAAGTGGAATTGGTAGTGTGCTTGGAGTTCCATCAAGGAGTGGAAAGGATTGCTTGGATTTTTTCCCAAAAGCCCTATAATGAGGATGAATCCTGTGATTAGTAATAGAAAGTGATCTCATGTCTGTATGTTCCCACATCTTATTTCCAGATGCTTCCTGGGTGCATGGCATTCTGAGGAGTTGTTTCTCCTCATGGATTTATGCTGCCAGGTTTTACTTTCTAGGGATAGGCTAGGTGGAGTTCAGGAAGACCTATTCTTTGCGAAGTTTCTCAGAGCCTGTGTTCCCTGTTGCCTGACATTCAGAGAATTTTTGAGTGAAAAGGTCCTGGTTTTATAGAGGAGGAAAGCAAAGCCCTAAGAGATGAAGTGACTTTGTCAGAGTGGCTGGGATTCAAATTCCCACCCCCACCCTCATGACTCCAGGAGGCAGAGAACTTATTGTCATTCCTGCTACCCTGTCAAAATGACTGGGCTTAACTGACTAGATTCCCCCAGATAGAGGAAATTAGGCTATAATCTGGGGACATGCTTATTTATAAGACATTTGCTTTAGCTCTTAATGAGTCTTAAAAAAAAGACTGCTATTGTAATAGGTTATAGTCTAAGGCAAGCTCACATGCTTTTTTCCATTATGAATATTATCTCCATTTATGGATTCTGACAATAATAAGATGCTGCAGTTAGCTATGTCAGCTAAATCTGTTCATTATCTTAATACACTACCAGTATGTCAATGAAAAAGGGATGGACCATGTTCATTTGGTGCATTCATATTCACAGTTGACTCCTATTTGTATTTGAATCAAAACAAGAAAATGAAATGGGAAAGAGTAAGATGGGAGTGGGAAGGGAGGTAAACCCAAGGTCTTGATTTTTTAAACAAAATATTTTCTGTTTCTTTTCTTCAAGTTAAGCATAGCAGTCATCCTTCTGCATACTTTCTTTACATTCCTGTACTTATAGAAAATATATTATAATGTGTATATTTATATGTGCTTAAAATGAATTAATAAATTGTGTCACTTTTGAAGACTACTAGAAATACCAATTTTGAAGAGTTTTGTTTTTCTAAACTTCATTCAAGATACTGCACAGTTAATTTTACAATTTGATATGAGAAATGGAAGCTTGATCATCATCATGGATCACAAAAATGAGCTTCCACAAAAATGGAGGCTACTGCACTTGTGTTTTAAATTTAAAAACTATAATTATATGAAATCTCATCATCTATCAGTGGAGCTTGGCAGCACATGTTTGAATACCTGCCCAGGGCCTGCAGGATGGCTTGTGTAATAAAGAGCCTTGACTGCAGAGCCTCTCTGTTCAGAGACCTGAAGAATAAATAACTGAAAAAATGTGTGCATCTTTTCAGTTTGATAAAGCATCATAGTCAACAAAAGCTTTCTCTGTGATTATAATTATTTGTTGATGAATGAATTGTGGACGAGATTTGTGGGTTGGATTTAATTACGTGGGGACTGAAGAAGTACCCATAAAACAAAGGTAGTTAATGCCCTCAGTAGAATTTATGTTTTCAATTATTAACATAAATTAGATTTTTCTTTGTTAAGAAAGATTAAAATAATCATAATTATAGAGTGCAGAGAAAGGTTTATTTGATGGTTAAAATTGAGAGAGTTTATCCACTTTTTTTTGAAATACTAAGATAGATATTTTGTGTATCTGTTTGATTAATTTTGGTCAAGTACTATTATTTGTTCTTTCAGTTATTAGTATGGTTAAAAAGGTATCGCCTAGTGATTTTTCTAGATTCCAGTTTGTATCTATAACAGCAATAGGTAGACACTTGCTTGAATATTCCTTGTGTAGTTAGTACTGCTGTTAACAAAGACAATTCTAGTGACTCACTGTAAGAAACTTCATTATCAGAGGTAGAAAGTATGAGTCATAATTATATATGTTTCAGAATGTAAATTAGAGAGTTACAATATGAACATTTCTACTAAGATCATTGTGTACCCAAAACATGAATTGTTGTATACATCTGGAAGTCTTAAAGCAGATGAAGTGAGTTGCTGGTTTCATGTTGGGTCAGGGAAGTAGAAGGGAGGAGAGAGGAGAAAGTGGGAAGGAGGAGGCAGTTCTAGTTTCTGGAGCAAAATAAGCTGTCGCCGATGGACCCAAGGCTCCTTTAATTTCCTGAGATGTTGGTACAAGACACCTGGGATAAGGAAGGTTGGCTATCAGAGTTGATGGTGAGCTGAGTGAGCACACCAGCCACATTTGCATCTAGTCCTTTGTTTACCACTGAAGAGATACAAAGAAGATCTCCCTGCCCCAATCAGATCTTTCCCCATTCTGAAAAGAGATGAGGGGGTGATAGGTGCCAGAGGACGCTGAGGAAATAGATTCAGCACAGATGGGGAACAGTGTTCACATAGCTAGAGTTTTGAAGGAAGGTAACCTATAGCCTATAGGTGGAGATACTTGCTCTTACATAGAATTAAAAAACTAAAACCTTGTACCGAGCCACATCCCCAACCCTTTTCTTTCTTTCTTTTTTTTTAATTTTAGTATTCACTAAGTGAAATACTTCATTTTTATTGATTTTATTTTTTAAATACATGACAGTGGAATGTATTATAATTCTTATTACACATACAGAGAATAATTGTTTATTTCTCTACTGGTATATAAATTATGTTCACACCAATTCATGTCTTCATACATGTACTTTGGATAGTGATGTCCATCACATTCCACCATCATTGCTAACCCCTTTTATTTAGAGACAGGGTCTCACCGAGTTGCTGAGGCTGGCTTTGAACTCACAGTTCTCCTGCCTCAGCCTCCCAAGCCACAGGGATCACAGATATGTGCCACTGCAGCCAGCCTCATTTCTGGTTTTTACTCTAGCTTCTCTTTGTGTCTTTCAGGGAAACTGATAGAGGGAGGTAAACATTCTGTTAGGGGCTGTGGTTCATAGGTTTTTGTCTTCCTGTGAGCCACTGAGCAGCTCTGTGACATTGGGCAGGTCACCTGGCCAATTAACCTGAAGTTTCTCTAAACTTTCTTGGATTGGCCATGTGTTGATAGCTATGGAAGCTGAGTTGACAAGGCACTTGAAGGCTCATATAGTTCTCTGAACTTTTGCATATTCATATGCAAAATATTTAAGAACTAAATATTTTAAATTTAAATATATCAGAATTAAACAAAAAATGTAAAAAGGTAAGCTAAGAAACTTAAAAATAAAAATTAAATTGGCCTCAATAAAATGTTAAAATCTATTATCTTCTTAGCTGAAACATTCATTTCAGAGTGGTCAATTCATTTTCCATTCATCATTTATTTATTCACTGGGTATTTTTTGAGGACGCATCCTATTTGAGACAGCCTTTTGGGATACCCCAAAAGTATAGGCTGAATAAGATTAGGATCTTTTTTTCTCCTTTGGTTTTATAGATGAATAGGGTAATGTTGGCAATACCACAGTACAGCGAGTGATTCATGGGGTGGTGTATGGCTGAGCAGCAGAACAGGTGATACCAGACTGGGAGATTCAGGGAAGGCTTCGTGCAGGAGTTGACCTGTGAGCCAAGCTTCAAAAATTTGTATGTTTTTGGTACATGAAAATGAGGTGAAAAACATTTTATATAATAAAGGTTAACGAAGGCAGAAAAACATACCCAGGAACTTTGAGCCGGGTGGTTCTGAAAAGGAACAGAGAGAAAGGAGACTAAGAAGGTAGGCAAGTCATGACTGCCAGCCTGATTTGATACTACAGGTCTGGTATCCCTTATCTGAAATGTTTGGGAACAGAAGTGGATCAGATTTAGGATTTTTTAAATTTGGGAACATTTGCATTTACATAATGAGATATCTTGGTTATGACCCTAGTCTAAACATGAAATTTATTTTTTTAAATATTTTTTAGTTATAGGGGGACATAATGTCTTTATTTTGTTTTTATGTGGTGCTGAGGATCGAACCCAGTGCCTCACACATGCTAGGCAAGCGCTCTACCTCTGAGCCACAACCCCAGCCCCTCATTTATGTTTTTTGTTTTTTTTTTTTAAGTTTTAGGTGGACACAATATCTTTATTTTATTTTATTTTTTGTGGTGCTGAAGATCAAACCCAGTGCCTCATGCATGCGAGGCAAGCACTCTAACATTGAGACACAACCCCAGCCCCCCCTCATTTATGTTTTTTATACACCTTATACTCGGAGCCTGAAGGTAATATTATATAGTATTTTTAGTGTGCCTGGATGTTTTGACTATGACCTGTCTCATGAGGTCAGATACAGGAATTTGTGGTGTAATGTCTTGTCAGCACTCAAAAAGTTCCAGATTTTGGAGCATTGTAGATTTTGGATTTTCTGATTAGGGCTGCTCAACCTGAATTAGCTCATAGGAAAAGGGAGATGATTCAGTTTTGGCAGCCCAGATTGACATCTCTAAGATGGATTAGTTGGGTATTAGAACTGGCAAGGCTTGTTTGAGGACTTTTGTGAAAAAAGATAATAAGATGCTAAGTAAGGGAAGTCATTGTCTCTGTAACATTTCTCTCCAAAATTTCTAAATGTGTCCTTAGGGAGGGAAAAGCAAATGACACAATTGGGTAAGTGCTTTATGAACAGTAGTATGCTATGTAAGATGTTAGTTGCTGGTTGAAGAAAAACTTGGTATGTTTCATATGAATTGTGTTATTATAAGCTTCCAAAGGACAGGGGAATCTGTTTTGGTTTGGGATTTTGTTGTTTTGCCATGTGTTGATTTTTTTTTTTTTTTGATGAGTCCTAAGTATGGACAATAGCAAATTAAGGTTTAATTGCAGTTTTTAGGTTGCCTTAGCTATTAAGTACAACACAAGGAAGAACATCAGTGGAAGTATCCTAAAACAGAAGAGAATTTAGTGGGAAAGTGAGAGGGAACAGAGGAACTTGGAAGATTTAATGAGACCAGTACTGGAAATGTTATTAGAATTCAGTTTTTTTAACTGTATTTTAATTTTACAACTGTCCAAATGCATTTCAAATGAGAACATTTTGTCTTTTCAGCTCAACTATTTGCTTTGGGGGTATTTCCTGAAATTATTAACTTGTTAATCAACCTGTGCCATAAGAAATAGTAAAAAGGAAAATATGAATCAAAGATGATTAGATTTACAAATGTAGAGGCTTAGAACATTTTAAATTCTCAAGTCTAAAGAGGGTTTTTAATGTAGCAAAAATACCATAATTGTTTTAAAGAGACTTATTTTTGGGTTATATTATTTTAAATATATTTTCTAGAAAATGAAAATTTTAATATTTTTAACTAAAAATCTTGTAGCAAGGAAACTCTAGGATAAATGTTAACTTATAACAAGTTTAAACAATGAAATCTCAGGAATTAAAAATAACTTCAAAGTGTACTGCAGCACTCTTATGGACTGAGAGTTGGGTGTGGAATGGGGACAGGAGAAATTGTTGCCAGTAATTACTTTGTAATAAATCACAAGTAAGTTTTGATAATTATCCAGTGAAAAACTGGAAACCTTTATCAGCTGATTTCCTCTTGGCAGAAACAGAAACTGAGGCTGCAAAAAAATTATAAACTGATTTCTCCTTGTAGATAGTCCATTTTAATAGTTCTGTTCAAACAACTTATTTTTCACCTAGAATTTTTTTTTTTTTTTTTTGTGGCACTGAGGATTGGACCCAGTGACAATATCCATTCCCAGCCCTTTTTATTTTATTTTGAGCAGGGTCTTGCTAATATTCCCCAGGCTGGCCTTGAACTTGTGATCCTCCTACTTCAGCCTTCTCAGTAGCTGGGATCACGTATGCATCACCATGCCTGGCTTATTAAATGTTTTTTTGTTTGTTTTGTTTTGTTTCTTTTTTTGGGGGGGGTACCGAAGATTGAACTCACGGGCACTCAACCACTGAGCCACATCCCCAACCCTATTTTGTATTTTATTTAAAGGCAGTGTCTCACTGAGTTGCTCAGTGCCTTGCCATTGCTGTGGCTAGCTTTGAACGTGCAATCCTTCTGTCTCAGCCTCCTGAGCCAGTAGGATTACAGGCCTGTGCCCCTGTGACTGGCTCAAATGTTTTTAAAAGCTTTATTTTTTTGGTATGGAACAGGCCTTTTTAAAGTTAAACCCCTTTAAACAGAAAGAATTTGCAATTGTTTATTATTGGAAACTGTTACAGGCTGTTCTTGCTTTTACCAGTAAATGTCTCTTAGCTAGTTATCGGATACACAGTGGGAAGCTTGCAGCAAATTAGGAGGAAAGAAGGGAAATGGGCTTTCTAATGAAAGTCCTCCCAAAAAATCAAGAAACTACAGCAGTGACATCAACCTGCTGCAAATCACTTTTCCATGTTTCTGCCTTGCAGGGAATTTTCTCCAGCAGTGCTGCTCTGAGGAGCAGGGGACATAGAAAGTCAAATGAAAGCCTTTGCTCTTATGAGTTATAAATAGGCACTTAAAATCATTTTGTTAGAAAAGTTAATTTTTTTTTCTTTTTTTTTTGGTACTGGAAATTGAACCCATGGGCACTTAACCACTGAGCCACATCCCCAGCCCCTTTTATATTTTATTTTGAGACAGGGTATCACCAGGTTGCTTGGGGCCTCCCTAAGTTGCTAAGGCTGGCTTTGAACTTACAATCCTCTTACTTCAGCCTCCAGAACCATTGGGATTACAGCCTACACCATCACACCCAGCAGGAGTTAAAATTTTTAAAGAATATCTGTAAACCCCTCAGGACCCAGAGACAATTTTGGATGCATGACTGATTTAAATAAGGAGATATGTGCACGTATGCACCTATGCCCCCAAACATCTGTTTGCTTTTTGCTATAAGTTATTATATATTACAATGGTGCTACTATTATTTAAAACACAGTTCAAGGCTTCCTTTGGGTGTATCTTCACAGTCTTTAGCATACTCAGAAAGAATATATTCTTTATTATATTATACATAAAATATGTATTATATAGATACTAAAATTGATGTTATTTACCCAGTAGTTGTAAATCTCATCTTTGGACAATGAACTTGATTTTTGGGAAGAGCCAGGAGGAATTTGAGCTATATACAGAGGGAAAAGATAGGTATAAGCTGATTACTACTGTTTTGGGTCTAATATGAGATATAAATATAAAATAATGAGACAGTTCCTTCTGTAATTCATTAAGTGCCTCTAGATGAAGAATATAAGAATAGTTTTAAGCTAAAAGCAGCATTATTGGAAGAAAGCATAGTTTCCCATTATGAAACTTGGAAGACTAATGTTCATTTGAATACTCAACTTCTGGGATATAAAGTAAAACAACATCCATTGTCTCAGTGTCCTTGCACCTTCTCCATAGGGCGATTATAAAGATTAAATTGTAATGATTAAATGAGATAATGTTAGTAAACTCTAAGCCCCCATGTTTGGCATTTCGTAAGCCCTCAATAATTACTAGCTTTTTCCCATAATCTTTACTTTTATAGTAGTACCTAGAGATCAGGAGAGCTCTTAACAAAAGTTACAAAGCTTCAGAAGGTATTAAAATGGTAAAATTGCTGGGGTTATATAATAAATGGTAGCATTTCTTTAAGGGTGCATTTAGGGCAAACACTATAATTGATGTTAATGATCATAACTTTGCTAACAACCAAAATATTTTCTAAGAGCTTGGTGAGATTTTATGATTAAATTAATTGCTTAGCAATTCAATTTTGAATTGAATTCAATTTTGAAATACTATTCTAAGCTTCTCATTACTGGTAGAAATATAAAAAAATTTTTCTGAAGTCAGAGGTTTGTATGTTTGACATCAACTTTTAAAGTGTGGTAGTATTTTAAGATAGTATAATCTTGCTGGATATACAATGTTTGGGCCATTTAGAAATAGAAAATAATCTTATTGATTATTTTTTGCATATTAAGTATCTTTAATGCCTTGTAGTTTTGAAGTAAAATTTTTTGTCACTTAGAGTTATGAGGCTTTTATTATTAAAGTGACAAATATTTACTGATCTTAGATTTGAACTCAGAACTACTTACCTATGGCTGTTTTCTCCTACTTATTATTGTACATGTTTTATAGCATATAATCTAATAACTAAATTATATGACAAGATAAATGTCTTTTTAGTTTTATAGCTCTTATTTTTAGTAAGTTCTTTTTTTAGCAAAATAGTTTCAAATTTAGTTAAACATTTGCAAATTATTCTAGGGCTGCTTCTAGCTATTCCACAGAGAGACAGATGTCACATGATTTGGTTGCTGTTGGCAGGAAAAGTGAGAACTTTCATCCAGTGTTTGAACATCTTGACTCAACTCAGAATACTGAAAACAAACCTACAGGAGAATTTGCTCAGGAAATCATAACAATAATCCATCAAGTTAAAGGTTGGTATATTTTACGCATACATTAGGGATAACAGAAAAATAATGTGCTGGCTTTTCACGAGATAATAGGTGATATATTTCAATAGTAATATTTCATTGTAAGTTAGATTATGAATTAGGAATCTGTTGGAGAGATCATCAGACATACATTCAAGCCTAGTTGTTCTTTTTTTTAATATTTATTTTTTAGTTATAAGTGAACACCATGTCTTTATTTTACTTTATGTGGTGCTGAGGATCAAACCCAATGCCTCATGTATGCCAGGCGAGCGCTCTACCTCTGAGCCACAACCCCAGCCCCATAGTTGTTCTTTTTTAATATATTTATTTTTTTAGTTGTTGATAAACCTTTATTTTATTTATTTATATGCGGTCCTGAGAGTCAAACCCAGTGCCTCACATATAGCAGGCAAGTGTGCTACCACTGCGCCCCAGCCCCAGCCTCAAGCATAGTTGTTCTTTATGATGTATTTCCAATAACCTTGTGCTTCAACTGGTAGTAGATAAGAAATCACAAGTTAGAAAAGAGAGGTCAACCACTGAAAAAGACTACCATACTGAAATCAGTGAGACGCAATAACCAATAGCCTAACAGGGAAGAAGAAGCAGGGGAAGGAAAAAAAAAAGAAACTCGAGCAATCGGGAAGTCTTGATCATTTTGTGATATTCTTAAAATCCCCTGAGAGCGGTACTGGGACTTTGTGCCACCAGGATATTGCTAAGTGATAAATGAAAGATTCCAGTTTGCTTTGGCATACTTTATGACATCAGAGAGTTGCATAATAAATACTTTAAAGATTTGCATTAAATTGTTTTGTTTTTGCTTCTGGCAACTTTCCATTAATTGGAAAATTCAGTGATGTAGAACTGCTTCTACCAGTAATGCCACAAAAATAAGGCAATTGTGGGTGTTATAAGCTGGAGGCCTTTAAGAATTTTTATTTTATACTACTTAGTAATTGCATTAATCTTTTTCACCTTCATAAAACATATTTCAAAAATGAATTATTTTCTTTGCATCCCTCAAGCTAAGGCATATATTTTCTTGAAAGCATTCAGTTTTAGACTGGGAGTATAGCTCAGTGGTAGTATGCTTGCCTAGCATGAGTGAGGTCCTGGGTTTGATCCCCAGCACTTCAAAATAAATAAATAATAAAGTATGCAGTTTGTCTGAAACAGTTACCCTCTCAACCCTAGCTCCTCTCACCCAAAGCAAGTGTAATTATTTGCAGAAAGGGGGCTGGTATAACATAAAAGTCCAGGAGATTGTCTCAGAACAGGAACAGTAAGTTAGGGAAAAGGATTGCTTAAGTAGCATTCTGATGGAGCATGTGTATTCTCTTTCTCTCTCTAACCTATTAAAAGTCTGTGCAACATAGCTGATTTCAGAATGTCCTCAAGAACTTCAGTTAATGTTAATTGAAACAAAATTGTATTGGAAGACCTTCTGTGGTATGTGAACATAGCATTTAGCATTGTCAGAATTTTTGTGATGCTTCAGGATTGTTTGTGGAGTTAATTTTTACTCTTATTGAACTGTAGAGCTCCCCAAATAGTGTCTTACCTTGGAGTAGAAAGGTCCTCACTTTGAGAGCACTACAGTTTTCCCCTAGATAAGTAAGCAGACATGTCAGATAGGAAGAAAACCCCTTGGATTCATAAATCAGATGTTTTAATTCTTGCTTGGGCTGGGGAAAAACATGCAAACACTGCAAATTAGTCTGCCAAGTAAGTTTAGGTCCTGTGTATTTTCAAGAGAAAACATTGGATGTTTTCGAAATGGTCCTTCTTCCTGTACTTACATATAATCTTTTAAGTGGAATCAGTTTTACGTTGAGATAAAACTATTTATTTCCTTTTTCAGCAAATTATTTTCCATCACCTGTCATTACTCTAAATGAGCGTTTCTCAAAAATGCGAAGTACTCATGATGCAGATGCAAAAGAAATTAAATTGAATTCAGATCCAGAAATTCACAGGTAATGATTGATTACTGTATTCCCATTTAACCATGGGAGTAAACCTCAGAACTGTTGCTTCCTGAGCTTGCTCACCTGGACTTGCGTGAGACTGACTCTAGGAATGTGTATCTGACATAAAAACAGGATCTACCCAAGCAGGTACTGGGCCAGGGCACATCAATGGAATAGATTGCATTGAAACCAATGACTAGCATTGTTTAAATGTATAGAACTTTGACAATATTTACCTACCTAACTTTGATTCTGCTGTGTCTATAGTAGTTACCTACTGAAGTTATCACTGGAAGAATGAAAGGCAGTTGTCAAGCCATTGAAATCATGTGATCAAAATGGCTGTTCTGAGGGCAGCCGGATGAAAACATGTCTTCTGCTGGCACTTGTCGAGCAGGTGGTGCACCCTGTCTTGTGAGCTGAGTTGAATCAATATTAGAATGCAATATATCACCAGAATAAAGTTTGAAGTTACACAGGCTAGTGATCTGAGAACCCCTAAAACTTCCCTGAAATGTGCTTCACAAGATCTAGATTCTTGGGAAATTGTCATATACCATATAGATGAAAAAAATTACCTGTTAGCAGGTTTCTTTTGCCTGTTCCAAGATATACCTGCTTTATTTCAAATTCCATTCTGTAGTAGTAGAATCAAGGTCTCAGTGCATAATCTAATTATTTAATTGTAATATGCCTTTATTATTTTAGGAGAATAGACATGTCTTTGGCTGACCTTCAGAGTAAACAAACTATGGTATATGAACCAGATCAGGTAAGTGAACACAAGTTTTGATGTGAGATTATCTTTTTTTTTTTTTTTTTTTTTTTGGTATACTAATGGGAAAAGGGATTGGTGATTGGGGGTTGAGATCCAGGAAATTTCAAAAGTTCTCCAAGTGATTATGATCATTGGCCAGGTTGGCACAAGAATGCTGACAAAAAGACAAAAATATTCCTTAAAAGGGACAATCCTTAATGATAACAGCTTTGTAACAAAATTTTAGCATTTAATATTCATTCTATAACTCCACACTGTGAAGCTTGTAGAAAGTATGTTCCAATCATGTGGAAAATATTTTTAAATTGTACATGAAATGAATGAAAAGAAACTAAGTTTCATTTGAGATTGACCTTCTATTTACTGGAGAGTGTTTGAAAGATTCTGTGGAACATTAATTAGCAAAATAATGGAAATGTTACATTTCTTTACTGTCCCATGTTTGGTTCCTACCCAATACCTCCCCCCCATCCACCTCCCATTTCTTTACTAATTAGAAAGAGTATCTTGACTAGCCAAGGAGTAAGAAAAGTGGCTTTTGTTTTAAAATGTTTCAAGTTGAACTGAAAACAAAATTCCATGCATGTGTGATTTTGTTAGGATGAACCTAAGTACTATGTATAACTATAAAGCTCTTTTTTTAAAAAAAAAGTATGTTAGGTTGTAAAAGAACTGCTAATTTATTCATTGAAAGTAAAAAGTTTTTATAGAAAAGATATTTTTAATACATTTCTAATAGAATATATATAAAGTTTTTCACATGTGAAATTATAGATTTGATTAATCTTAGATGGGTTAATTTATTGAATGATATTTTCAGAAAATTTCTAATCATCAAAGTATTATAGTGAACTTGTAGGAAATTTAAGGATTTAAAAAAAAATCATCTGTAATTCAACCATTTGATACAGAATATTATCTGATCATCTTTTCGTGCAGTCTTACATCTTGCATTTTAACATAGTCACTATCATAGTATATGCACTTTTGTATGTTTTTTTTCTTTTTACTTAATTCATAATAACATGCCTTTTATGTAAAAATCTCTGAATTCCCCATGACCTTTTATGATTGAGGCTTTTAAAGTTTCAATTTTTTTCAATGAGTGTTTTTCCATGTTGACTTCCACATACTATTTATTAATTTAAATGGTTATACATTATTCTTTTGAGTTATTTACCATAATTTATTTAATTGTTCTTCCCTTTCCCTTTAAAGTTTTTTTTTCATTTACATTACTTCCATTTTTTGTTATTTTTAAATATAGTACTTGGAATATTTTTAGGTAGACAGCTCTTTCTTTGGGATAGAATCCCCAAAGTGGGATTCCTGGTTTAATATTAGGAGCTTTTCTGACTGTATTGTCAATTGTGTCTCAGAAAATTTGATTCAGTTTACACTACCATAGCAGGATGAGTACAAAATAACTTATTTAGGACTTTTAAATAAGGTTCTTGTTAGATATGGTCTTTGTGCAACTAACAGTAATGTGAATGGTTTGTCTTCTGTCAAAATTCCTCAGACTCTGGTCAAAATAATAGATCCAAATGACCTACGACATGACATTGAAAGAAGGAGAAAAGAACGATTACAGAATGAAGATGAGCACATTTTTCACATAGCTAGTGCTTCAGAGAGGTAATCAGTAGATGAAAAACATACTGTTATCAGGGAGCTTTCGGTTTAAGCATTTTTCCAGTTTTTTTGTGTGATGATAATTTTAGTGTAGGGATTTGATCCTTCAAATCCATTTTCTATGGTTAAATGAAATCTATTAAAATGTTTCAAAATTATTCAGTAATCATTCTATGCATCTTGATTTAAACAAGAAAAATTATGGGGTAGGTGGATATTTGAGGACTTCATAATTCTAGAGATAAGTATAAGAGATTTTTTAATATTAGCAGAAGCCAAGACCAGCAAGGTTATGGACTGTTTGGCTCAAGCTGATTAAAACTGATACATTCTGCCCTAGATTCTGGAGTAGTCTGAATAATGCAAAATTTCCTGAAGTTAGTACAGTTCTCTTCCAGGACTCTTCGTGGATGTTTATCCATGAAATGGGCAGGTGTAGTAGAAAATGTAGAGACCTACATTTGAATTTGATCTCTTTCCAATTTATAAGATGTTTGATCTTGCACAAATTTGATGAGTCACTATAGCCTTTCTATAAAATGATGATAAAACTGCCAGGCACAGTGGCGCACACCTGTAATCCCAGCAGCTTAGGAGGCTGAGGCAGGAGAATTACAAGTTCAAAGCCAGCCTCAGCAAAAGTGAGGTGCTAAGCAACTGAGTTGAGACCCTGTCTCTAAATAAAATACAAAATAGGGCTGGGGATATGGCTCAGTGGTTGAGTGCCCCTGAGTTCAATTCCCAGTACCAAAAAAAAAAATGATGATAAAACCAATTTATTATGCTATGCATATTAAATGACTGGCATATTTAAAGAACTGATGCCATGCATAGCAAGGGCTCATCAGTAGATCTCCCAGAAAGTAGGAATAGTGCAGTTTTTTATATAGTCCATAGTGTCAAATTACTGAAATATTTGACTAGACTTTTAAGTCAAGTCTATGCCTAACTAAGTCTTAGTTGAAATAGATGGAGCTTGTTTAAAACTGGATTTGATTCTAACAATAAGTTTGGGACTAATTAAAAAGATAATCAAACTGTGTGTTGTGGTATATGAAAAATATGAAAGTAAAATAGTAAAAATCTTTTCCTTTGCTAGGTGAAAATCACCAGTCTCCTAATATGATGTGATTAATACATTGCATGACTCGGCCCTTTAATGTCACAAACTGTCACATTTTTCTTGAGACAGCAAACTTAAGAAACCCAGTGTACCAAGAGATAGGATTTTTCAAACAGATTTAAGATAATCAGCATATTGTACAGACTGTGTAGTGCTTCAGGATATATCTTTACCCTCTGAAATGATTAGAACTTGAGTACTGAAGTTAGACCCGAGTTCATATTCCTGCTCTTAGACCCCTAGCTATGTAATTGACTTTTGGCAAGTTACATAGTCTCTGTTTCCTCAAGTGTAAAATAGGGATAAGATTTATACTTACCTTGTAGTGGTAGTTAAAATTAAGTAAGGTGATGTGTATAAGGTTAACATAAAATTTATCAATGTCAGCTTTGAAAATAGTGTTGAGGCATGCAAAGATGTTTTCCTACAAGGTATCTTTTGCTGGGTGTGTTGGATTATTTCATGTTTTTTTTGTTTGTTTTGTTTTGGTGCTGGGGATCAAACCCAGGGCCTTGTGTATGCAAGGCAAGCACTCTAACTGAGCTATATCCCCAGCCCCAGGATTATTTAATTCCTACTGGATAGTTGGTATGGAATATAGAGCCATGAGGGTTTTTAAAAATCGAGATATTACATACCATAAAATTCCCCAATGGAAGTAAACAATTCAGTAGTTTTTAGTATATTCACAGGGTTCTATAACTATCACCATTATTTATTCTAAAACATTTTATCAGCTCAGAAGGGAACACTGTACCCCATTTCTCCTTCCCCCAACCCCTGGCAACCACTCTTCTACTTTCTGTCTCTACGGATTTGCTTATTCTTAACATTTCATATAAATGCATCATATTGTGTATGGCTTTTGTGACTGATTCTTTTGTGTAGCATAATGTTTTCAGTGTTGATCCAATGTTGTAGCATGAGGATGCTTTTTATGGCTGAATAATATTCCATTGTATTGATGTGCCATATGTTGTTTATCCATTCATCAGTTGATGGATATTTGGATTGTTTCCACTTTGGGGCTGTTGTGAATAATGGTGCTATGAACATTTTTGTGTAATTTGTTTTCATTTCTCTTTGGTTGATACCTACAAGTAGAATTGATTAATTAGGTGGTGACTCTATATTTAACTTTTTGAGGAACTTCCAGATAGTTTTCCAAATTGACTATCATTTTACATTCCACAGCAATTTCTCCACATCATTGCCAGTATGGATAAGATTGTTACTGTCTTTTTTTCAAAAATGATATAGAACCTCTTATATATAGAACCGTTTATCTCTTTGTCCTAATTCAATTTCCTTATTAAAATAAAAGACACTTCATCTTTATATCTTAGAAATTCAGTTTATAAAAATTGATCTCATTGTGTTTTTACATAATCCTTTTTAATCAAGTCAGTATATAGTTTCCATAGACATTCAGAATAATGAAACATAATAAAATCATAAATCATAGGAGGAAGTGATTTCCCACCTATGTGATTTTTCCTTAAAAAGTTGTATGCAGGTTCACTGGGCATTGTGGCACATTTTTGTAATTCCAAAAACTTGGGAGGCTGAGGCAGGAGGATCGTAAGTTTGAGACCAGCCTGGGAACTTAGTGAGACCCTGTCTCAAAAATTAAAAAAAAAAAAATTAAAGGGCTGGAACTGTAACTCGAGGTAGAGTGCTCCTGGGTCCGATCCTCTGTACCACAAAAAACGTTGTATGCAGGCTCTGTGTCTATTTGCTCACCATTGTATCCCCATTGCCTTGAGCTAAGTTCATATTTGTTTAATGAATGAAGACTTTCCAAAGCAGCAGACAGGGCCAAATATACTTAAATTAGAATACCTGTCTACCTGGATTCCTGTTCTCTGATACCTTAGGAAACTTCACCAGCAAACCTGATTCTCAGGGATTTCATCTACTTTCCAAAACCCTGATATTCTCCATTGCTCTCCCTTCTGGTCAGTCTCTATCCTGAAGCTCCATGGCTTTTGACACACTATTTCTCCCTCTTCTTATCAGAGTTACTAAGTTCCCCACAATGTAATTAAGATGTGTTATATAAGTTTGGGCTATGTGTGCTTAAAAATAATGTCAGTGTACTTCAAAAGGACATCAAACTGTCAAGACTTCCTTTTTAGCTAGTCAGCTTATAGGAAAACATCAGTTTTTATTCTTGCTATTGTAATAATCTATACTAAACTAGAGTGAACTTCGTGCGAATCTTTTATTCATATGTTCAACAAATATTTCCTCTGTTCTACAGTTACTGTTTAAGCACTAGGGATAAAAGTATACACAAAGTGATAAAAGTATACACAAAGCCCTTGCCTTTGTGGCACTTGGAATTTAATGGTGGAAGAAAGAAAATAAGCAAATAAATACATGTTAGTGAAGTGATAGATGAAAAATAAGGCAGAAGAGGAAAATAGAAAAGAATGATGTGTGATATGATTTTAAAAATTTAGCTGGGATGTGAATTAAGGTATTTGGCCACAGGATTACCTGGCGGGGGTAGTATTTCAAGAGAGGAAACAGTAAATTCAAAGACCTTGAGGCAGGAATATGGTTGCTCTTGCTTAAGAACTAGAAAGGGAGCTGGTGAGTTACAAAATGAGAAAAGGAAGAGAAAGTCAAAGCGTGAAGGACTTTGAAGGACTGAAAAAGATGGAAGACTGTTTTTTACTCTTAGTAAAATTAGAAAACATTTAGGGTTATAACCAGAGAAGAGATATAATTGCACTTAAATTTTAAAAGGATCACTGTTGTTTTTAGGTAGAGAATGGATTATACAAACTAGAGAAAAAAAGTCTCAAGTTAAAAAATAAAATAAAAGATTGGAGGTAGGAAATCTGCATGATAAGGTGGCATAGTAGATGGGACTCATCAAAGAACCAGGCTCCTTAGACCTTGCTCCTCCTCTAACCTTTGCACACAGCATATGCCTCGTATCCCAAGGTGGTTGGTTGTGCTCTAGCCATCATGTCCTCATCCTAGTCTTTCCCTGAAATTTACACATGACACTTTTAACACTGTTGGCCTAAAAATTTAGTCCCATGTCCATGTCTAGTTGTAGGGAGGATGGGAAATAGATCTTTAATCTGGGTGTTCATTTGCCTGCTTAAGAATCAAAATTTATCAATGAATGGTTTTTCAGTTTTTTTATTGTGGCAAAATATAAATTTACCATTTTAATTGTTTTAAGTGTACAGTTAATTGGCATTAAGTATAACCATAGTGTTATGGAACCATCACTGTTATCCATTTACAGAACATTTTCATCTTTAGAAACAAACTCTGTACCATTAAACAATAACTCCCCATTCCTTCCTCCTCTCCAGTCCTTGGTAACCTTCTTTCTTACTATGTCTATAAATTTGCCTATTCTAGATAACCTCATACAAGTAGAATCATACAAATTGTCTTTTTTTGTCTGGCTTCTTAGTATCATGTATTCAAGGTTCATCCATATTGTATCATGTCAAAATTTCCTTCCCTTTTCAGAAAATTCCATTGCTTTTTAAAGCTGAATAATATTCTGTTGTATGGATATACCACTTTTTGTTTATCTGTTCTTCTGTTTATGGACATTTGTGTTGTTTCCACCTTTTGACTATTTTAAGTAGCGCTATTAACCAATATTGGTGTTGTGTTTTTGTTTTTTTTTATAGCCATCCTACTGGGTATAAAGTAGTATTTCATTGTGTTTTTGATTATAGCCATCCTAGTGGGTATAAAGTAGTATTTCATTATGGTTTTAATTTGCATTTCCTCCATGACTAATGATGTTGAGCATCTTTTCATATATTTATTGGCCATTTGTATGTCTTACCTGAAGGAATTTCTGTTCAAATTCCTTGCCCATTTTTAAATCAGGTTATTGTCTTTTATTATTGAGGTATAAAAGTTTTTTATCTATTCTAGATACTGCAGGTTGAGTGTCCCTTATCTGAAATGCTTACGCCAGAAGTGGTTCAGCTTTAGGATTTTTTTTTTTTTTTTGGAATATCGTCATAATGAAATATCTTGGTGATGGGACCCAGTCTAAACATGAAATACATTTATGTTTCCTATATGCCTTACACATATAGCCTGAAGTTAATCTATACAGTGTCTTTAGTCACATGAGGTCAGATGTGGGGTTTTCCATTTGTGGTATCATGTTGGTGTTCAAAAAGTTTCAATTTTTGGAGCATTTCTGATTTGGGATTTTCAGATTAGGGATGCTCAACCTGTATGTCTTTTTCCAATATGTGCCTTGCAAAGAGAGTTTTTAAAAGCCCATTTCCTTGTTTATAGACATAGTCATATATGCTAATGATAATCATTTGGGAAAAAATATAATTAAGTATAGAAATATAAGGCAGTTTTAATTTCATCAGTTAGAGATGACCACTGTTAATATTTAGCACATTTCCTATCATTTTTTTCTCAGCATATATGTTATTTAAAATAACTGAAATTATCCTCAGTATATAATTTAGCACCCTACTATTTTGACTTACTCTCTTATCATGAGTATTTTAACAGGACATGGAGTTTTTTTGTTTGTTTGTTTGTTTGTTTTGGGGGTTTTGTTGTTGTTTTTGTTTTTTTACATTTTAAAAGACCCTGAGTGTCTTCTTCTTGTCAGGTTTGGGGGTCAGAGCTGGGGCCACAAAATGAACCATCCACTTAACTACCTTCTCTGAAGGAATTGCAGCTTGTTCCATTAAACACACAGGTGCACCAGTAGTTACAAACATGAAGAGATAGGTGTTATCACCCCAAATATATTTTGTGCACGTGGCATTTTGTGGTACTTAGTTTACCAGAGAGGGGTTTAGGAAAGCCTTCCTTGGAAGAGGTACAAATGGAGCTAAATTTCATCTAAGTGGAAGGAAATGATCACAGAAGGAACTACAGGTGCAGAGGTGTGGAAACAGGAGAGATTGGAGTGTTCTGGGAACCACATAAAGTTAAATGTCCTGGAAGCACAGTGTGTGTGTGTTAGGGAGACTGGAGTAAGGCAGATGGCAATGCAGCAAGGACCAGAGCCTGGAGGACCGTGTAGGTCCTGATGAGGAGTATGGATTTCATCCTGATGTCAGTGGGGAATGTATGGAGGTACTGAAGTAGGGCTGAGGTCATGAGTGGCTGGTTTACCATGGAGCAAGGCCTGCAGAAGATGTAGGAAGAGGATTCCCTAAGGGCTATGGAAGTGAGGCATCCAGGATCAGAGGAAAAGCCCAAAGAAGGACCTCCCTCCATGATAGGGCTCCCTGGAAAAAGCACTTGGTGGCCTCAGGACCTCTCAATATCAAGAGAAGGAAGGCTTCCTTTTAATGCCCTGGCCTAGCAGTATCCATGGCCTAGCAGTATCAGAGTGAGGTAACCCTGCGCCAGTTTCATACCTCACCTCTGATGAATAGGCCAAGTCATTAGTGCTTTTACAAAGGGGAGTCTGTCAGTAAGGACAGGGTGGGGGGCAGTGCCGCCAAATTCTAGAGCAGCGACAGTCTTTCCTCTGAAAACACACATTTCACATGAGTTATAGCCTCCAGGAAGCCTGTCCTTGAACCTCAGATTGGGAACACTAATACAAGGAATATTGTTTCCCCCTCCTATTGATTACTGCCAACTTAACTAAATAATGTTTTTTTTTTTTAAATGAGGGTGTTAGCCCTAAAAACTAATGTTTGTAACTTTAGTAGTGAAAGATCATTGAGTTTTACTGTTGTGTTACTTTAATTGTCTCTAAAGGGGCTTTTTAAATTTTTTTGTTTATTTGTTGGGTAAAAGTAAACTAATAAAAGATTCTTGTTTTCTCTCTTTCATTTTATTAGGAATGATCAACGTTCCAGTTTTTCAAAGGTGAAGAATATTCATGCTGATGGATTCCAAAAACCTACACATTTTGTAAAATCAAATTTTAGAAAATTTATTCAGAAACCTTACATAGTAAGATTGGAGTTCCGGAATTTTCATTTTTCGTACATTCTCCTCAACTATATATTTTCAAAATGCCTATAACTGTGCATTAAGTATGTGTTAGAAGATTCATTTGAGGTTTACAGTTATTGTGACAAAAGAAATATTAATCTCTGGATTTATTATAATACCTTAGAATTTTGGGGGAACAATTTCATTAAAATATAATTTACATACTGTAAAATTCACTCATTTTAGGTGTAAAAGTTAGTGATTTTTTTTAGTAAATTTGTGATGATGTATCACTATCACAACAATCTAGTTTTAGGATATTTTCACTACCCAATAAGAGCCTACATGCCTGTTACCCCCTGTTTTCACCCCAGCCAACCACTAATCTACTTTCTGTTTTAAAGATTTGCCTTTTTATAGGGCAGCTTACAGAATGTCAGCTGACTACCTTCCATAAGAAATGACTGGAAAGATGGAAGCCAGAATCTGTGTCTGTAACCTAATTTCAGAAGTAACATCCCATTACTGTATCATATTGTAATTGCAAGAAGCAAGTTACTAGGTCCTATCCACACTCAAAGGGAGGATCATTAGTGGGGATCATCAGGAGTCATGTCAGCAGCTGCCTGCAATCCTCCCTCTGATCAAACTCCACAGAAAATGGAGCATATAGAAGGTTGTAAGATTGTTGATTTTAGAAATAAGAAACTGTCTTGAGAATGGGCTCTACCTTTTTTTTTTTCTTTTTTTTTTTTATTCCCGTCAGAGGATTCAAGTTCTTTGTGGTTACAGATTTACTAATGTAGTTGTTTCTCTTATTTCTGGTACTTTCCAAGCCATGGCAGGAACATCACCTCAAATCAGTTATCTGAGTCAGCCAAACCTGCCTCCTGCAGTATTGGGGATTTGTTCTTAACGAGTAGGAATCCTTTAGCAACTCCTGATAGTAATAAGTTTATCTCCCTATCCTGGAGGCCTGTATAAATAAATGCTAGATTCATAGTCCATTTTTTAAAAGTCACCCATTGCATTAAATAAGAGTAGGGATTTTTCTGGTTTTTTTTTTTTTAATATTGATTTTTTAGTTGTAGTTGGACACAATACCTTTATTTTATTTATTTTTGCATGGTGCTGAGGATCAAATCCAGGGCCTCTCACATGCTAGGCAAGTGCTCTACCACTGAGCCACAACCTCAGCCCTTCTGTTTGCTTTTTGACACTCATCACAGGCATGGATGAAACTGGCCCCTCACCAACTAGCGTGGATCATGTCAAAGAAGGAGAAATGTGTTCCCACAGCTAAGCTCCATGTTCCCAACTTTGGTTGCTTTTGTTTTGTGGTACTGGTGTTTGAACTCAGGGGTGCTCTACCACTGAGCAACATCCCTAGTCCTTTTTAATTTTTGAGACAGGGTCCCCTTAAGTTGCCAAGTCTAGCTTTGGACTTGCAATCCTCCTTCCTCAGCCTCCCAAATTGCTGGGATTACAGGTGGGAGCCACCACTCCTGGCTGCCTTGAGTTCTTAATCCTGTATATTTAAACATGTGTCTTTTACATGGTGAAATTAGTTTTTAAAATCAATCTTTAAGCATATTAACCCATACTAATACTTTTTCATGCAGAATTATGCTATTCGGAGAAAGGATATTGTTACTCAAAAACCATTTGGAGTTGAGGGAAACCATCAAAATACAAGAGGCTTTAAAAGACCTTTCAAGGTATTGAATGTTGTTTTCCATTTAATTCTAACTTTGGGCTTATGCTTTGAACATAATATTCTAAGTATAATTAAAAGCTATTTTGAGGTATTGTTTCAAATAGTAGCTATAAACTAGTGTTTCTGGTTTATATGCTTATTTCTAGTATTTACAGTTGACTATAATTAGTTTATTAATCACCTCTTCCTCAGGACTTGATTTTAATTTTTATTTAACCAGTGAAACCCTTTCTTCAAATATTACTTGAAAATACACATGCACAAGACAGATATAGGTGGAGTGACACAAGATGGGGAGACAGGCAAAGTCCCAGACTCTCCTATTAAACCTATCCTTAAATCTCTAAGGTGTTAAGTACAGAGCTCTCATGCTTCTCCAGGAATCACCAATGGAGAAACCCTGCCCATAGATAGGCACACAAGCATCAGAGAGGACTTCTGGTTCATCAGAGAAAGATTCTGGTCCAGACAACTTTGTTAAAGTATATTTTATCACATTCTAATTATTTCTATAGCTAATATAAATGATAGTTTTTAATTAGCCAACATGTTTGATTACCTAAAACACCTCATCCCCCAAACAAATGGAATAAAAACAATAGTCCAGGTGTTGTATTTCTCTCCTTGCTCTCAAAAGCTGTGCTTTTAAAATCCATTTTGTCTAAATTTCTTGTTTATGACAGGTACTTTGTTCATATTTTTCATTCTGTGTTGTCTTCTCCCTCACACACACAAAAAAAAGAAAGAAGGAAAGAATTAAAGCTTTTGTGTGTGTGTATGAAAGTCCCAGGCAGGCTTGATAAAGTACTTAGCTGATTAGGGGCAAATTAGTATGAGCAAAAAGGTGTAGTACAAACTATCCCAAAACCATAGACTTAGGTGGGTAGTTAAGTGATCTTCTATAAATATTTGGCTTCTTGACAAAGTTTCTAGATGTTAAAAGCATTTTTTTCTACTAGGAATAGCATAATTTGTAGGCATTACATAGACTATATTTTCATCCAGTGCTTTATATAAAACATGGATGATGTTGGGTTTTCAATAATAGCTACAGCCATAGAGGTATAAACATGTTTTATACCATCTGTTAATCTCTTGAGTAATGAGGCATCAGATCAACTGAAATTGTGATGTCTGCATCACCTAGAGGCAGTGTAGATGGATTTGCAGATCTCAGTGCTTCTACATATTGCTCTTCTCATTACTCAGATCTAGTTGATTGTTGTATTTTTGTAAGATCATCACAAGACTTATTTCCTCTTACCCTTTTATTTAAGGGAAGATTCTTTAACATTGTTAGATATTTTTCAAAATTTATGCAATAATCTTTTCTCTTGACCAATCATTTAAAGTTTTGTAATGTTATGATTACTTAGAAGTTCATAATTTTTTCACAGTAATATAGTGTATAGTGTGAGAAGATAATCCTTCCTAAAAAAATATTAGCCAGGCTAAGTGGCTCATGCTCATAATCCCAGCTACGCAGGAGGCTGAAGCAAGAGGACCACAAGTTTGAGGTCAGTCTGGATAATTTAGCAAGGCCCTGACTCAGAATTAAAAAGGTCTGAGGATATAGCTCAATTGTATGGCACATCTGGGTTCAATCTCCAGTGCCACAAAAAAGAAAAAAAATTGTTAAAATTTACTTTCTACATGAATTAGACTAATTCAAAGGTATAGTAAGCAAAAATGGACCATGTAAATCTCAGGATTAGCTCTGATATACCAAGTTTGTGCATATAGTCTTAACGAAATTATAGTGTCTTATTATGATTCTCTTTCATCTGAAATTTCCTCTAACCTTAATACTTGGAAAATGAGCATAGAATAAATAATTTTTGTGCTTCATCATGTATGATATCCCCATTTCTAAAAGAGTAAAATGAGGAATCTACTTAATTCTTTTAATTACTCTGCTATAATACAACATCTATACATTTGTTTTACCAATAATTCCCATTATCTTTTACCTTTTACTAAGTACTCTGAGGATGGAACTTAAATAAACTAAAATCCAAATTTTAAAAAGATTAAAATCCATTCCTAGTGACCAAGTCTTTGAAAATTATTATAGAACCTAAACATTCTAATTATTCTGTCTACATGCCTAAATATTATTCAGGCCATAATTGTAAAGCTGTAATTCAGTATAACACATCATATGGCTTTCGCTAAAGAACAAGCTTGATCTTTTTAATGTTGAAGGTCTTATAACAAATGCTCCCCTTTCATAGCCTCACAAGTATCTGTCTCCCCTTTAGTTACTTTTTATTTATTTTTTTTATATTTTGATACTGGAGTAGAGTGCTTGCCTTGCACATGTGAGGCCCTGGGTTCAATCGCCAGTACCACCAAAAGATATATACATATGTAATCCTTTTTTTTTTTTTTTTTTTAGCACAGCAGCTCCAGCAATGGCAACTCACGTGACTAAGCCCCAATATATTTTTTTTCCTGGCATTGCCTTAGTTGCTGCTTAATCTGAATTTTATTGTCAGAGGATAGTGTTTGAAGAGTCTTTTCATTTAATGCAGTGATTATAGTATAGTGAACAATAGTATTGATTTCTTTAATGGCTCATGGTATGTTTAATCTTATATTTATTTAAGAGTTACTATTGGTTAGTGCTTCATGTTGAAGGAATCATCTCTTTGCTATCTATTTAGGAATATGCAGGCTTATTCAGACCTTAACTTTCTTTTTTTTAAGGTATATACAGGTTTATTTAGGAAGATGGATAAGGGAGAATTGTAGGCTGTCTACACAGTGAGAAGCAGCCCTGACTTGGGCTGGGGGTCCATATTTATAGAAGGGCTATATCAGGGGCTGGACTGGAGGTGGATTCAGGATGGAGCTGCACAATTTTCTTGCCAGCTTTCCTGCACTTGTGGGTTTCCCTCATTTTTCAAGGATGTAGGCCAAGGTTTGCAACTGTGTTTTCTGCATCTCAGTGGCTTGATTTCTTCATTTCAGTGGCTTAAGGGTGTTTGCCTTAAGATTCTGTTTCTCCTTATCCTAAGTCCCTATCTCATTTCTACCCACCAAAATTTTGATCCCTTAATCTTCCCAGCCTGAAGCAGCCATAGAAGATTGATCTTCACCCCTCACAGAGCTTAATTTTCTGCAAAGCAAATGTGCCCCTATTTGTTTTTTATAATTTTAGCTTGTTTTAAGCCTTAGTGGATTACCAATAGTAAACTCTTCCTCCAGGCATTACAAAAGAGGCCACTATTGACTGGGACCCTGGTCATGTAATAGTTGAAATGTGACTCAGGGTGTTTTAAATTAAGAAAAAAAGAAAGAATTTGATTTAAAGACAAAACTCTTTCTATTCAACTTTGTCATCAAATGTTTACATATAACTAGATTGTGTTTCCCTTTTATGTTTTTGTTTTATTTTGAAATGGGCCCTTGCTGTGTTGAATCTATAGCTCCTGGGCTCTAGGGATCCTCTTGCCCTAGCCTTTTGAATGGCTGGGATTTTCTTTTTTGTTTTTAACCAGGGATTGAACCAGGGGCACTTAACCACTGAGTCACATCCCCAGCCCCACCACCCCATGTCTTTTTACTTTTTTTTGTTGTTTTTGTTGTAGATGGACATAATACTTTTATTTTCTTTCTTTATTTATTTTTTATGTGGTGCTCAGGATCAAATCCAGTGCCTTACACATGCCAGACAGGTGCGCTACTACTGAGCCACAACCCCAGCACCCCCCTAGCCCCTTTTTATATTTTATTTTAGAGACAGGGTCTCACTGAGTTACCTAGAGCCTCACTAAGTGGCTGAGGCTGGCTTTCAACTTGCAATCCTCCTGCCTCAGCCTCCCAAGCTGCTGGGATCACAGGCATGCTCCACTGTGCCCAGCTGGGATTTCCTTTTTCCTGTGAACATTTGCTTGAGAAATTGAGAAGATGAAAGCAAATTAGCAGAAAATAATACTAATAAATACTGATAAACACTAATCTTCTCAGTAGAGTTCTGATTTTACTTAAAAAAATTGGGGAAATGAATTTGTATGCAGTGCTGCTATTTTGAAGTTGAGAGTCTGCAACTTTTATTCTGACCTTTGTCTCTGCCCAATAAGTGAACACTGGTTGAATCCTTAACTCTTTGAGTGGTAAGGAGAGATGGAAGAATATAACTTTCTGTTTGTGCCAGTAGAGCTGAATGCTGTTTTATGTTCTTCAAGTTTGGACAGCCCTTGTCTTGTATATCCATAGACTCCTGTTGGCAAAATCAGTAAGACTAGCTGCCTGTCAAATACTCCACTAAATTGTCAATGCCTACAGAAAAAAGGGTGTGGTCTGGGTCTGTTTAGTCTTTCCCTTGCATGAAGTACTAGGTATGGGTTTTGTTAAGTAAATTCAGAACAATGTTATAGTTAACTTTGCCTGAGAGAGCATGTTGGGTCACCAAAGTCTTAACTTTTCTACAATATTTTCTCCTGACTCCCTGGAATTAGGCCTCCAAATATTCAGTTTGTGCTAAACTTGTCCTATTACATTTTAAAGTGTGCCTAGAGTTTTGCTTCATATGGCTTCAAATTTATTCTTTAATTTAAACATTTTTTCCAGTGCTGGGGATCAAACTCAGGGCTTCATGCACAACAGGTAAGCACTCTACCACTGAGTTCCAACCCTGGGCCTACACATATATATTTTTTTGCAGGAGAATTTAGTTGGATAATTTGAGGGAGAAATCCATTTTATAGTCAAGAGCTTACTTAATGCAGCCTCTTCCAGTGAGTTAGCAAGTAGTCAAGATTTTAAGACTTAGGCAGAGATAAACAGTTGGGCCACTTCTCCTTTCTGTTTTAGATTATTCTAGGAGGATGCTAGAAATGCAGGTGGCCACGAAGAGTACATGGTAGGGGGAGTGAGGAAAGGAGATTTAGAGAATTGTTTTGGAAGGTTTGGAGAGGACAGGTTGGTGAGTAACCAAACTCCCCTAGCACTAATTTATGATACCAGTTCCTCTTATACCATTTAGGAACATACAAACATTCATTGTCCTCTTATGTCTATTATAATACCAGACAGTATGCAAAGCTAGGAATCGCTCTTTACAACCCATATTTGATATAATGAGGTTTTTTTTGTGTGTGATAAAGAAAGATGGGTTTGAAGGTTTCAATAGGAATAAAGTTAAAAGTTTTTGATTCTTAAATATTGATTCTTAATGTCTTTCCCCCCCTCACTGGTATTTGATATAGTCACTGTGAATCAGAATAATTTTAGCTCTTTGAAGGTTTTGGAAAATTGTATTTTTTTAGCATGATGAAGTTCAAGAATTCATTTCAAATTTCTTATTCTTTTTTTTTTTTTTTTGGTGTGTGTGTGTATGGCACTGGGCATTGAACCCAGGGGTGCTGTACCACAAAACTACATCTCCAGCCCTTCTCATTTTTTAAATTTTGAAACAGGGGTCTCACCGAGTTGCCAAGGCTGTCTTGGACCTTGTGATCCTCCTGCCTCAGCCTCCTGAATCTCTGGGATTACAGGCATGCACCACCATGCCAAGTCATTTAAAAATCTTTTATGTAACAGTTTTAAAAATTGTTTTTATGTAAAACAAAGAATTTTTTCAAGAAAATAGTGTGTAAAATAAACTAGTAAGCTAGTTTGAGGGAAATGTACTTGACTATCATAAACCCCTTCCCCCTACTATCTATAATGCCTGGAATCAAGGGCAGCTCTAAATACCAGACATTTAACTACCTGTAGGCTTGGGAACTATAGTTTTAATGCTTAATTATTTTTTTCCCTTTGCAGAGCAACTTTAGAGGTGGTAGACTCCATCCCCCATATAAATCAGACCTGGTACAGAAGAGCTTATACATTCAGGCTAAATATCAGCGTTTGCGGTTTGCTGGTCCAAGGGGATTTATCACTAATAAATTCAGAGACAGATTACTGAGGAAAAAAAAGGTTAGTTGGATGATGATCATTTAAAAATGTTGAGTGACTTTTGAACTCCTGAATCATCTATGTTCATTAGAAAAATGAGATTTTTCATTTAGTTTTGATTAAAGAATCAACCTAGATTTCTAAGATGTTATTACATGATAGTTGAATAAAAACCTCAAGGAGTAATAGAGTTGTGAGACTGTTTAACCTTAAAATGCTTTTAGCTGTTATACTTGAAATATTTTGAATATGCCAACTGTTTGAACTTTTCACTTTAGGATTTCTGTTGTATAGTTAATCTTTGAAATGGTAATTTCGGTAAAGGCTTTTAATTGATATATTTTAGTCTTGTACAATGTAAGTGATATGAGTGCCAAAAAATATTGAGCAGACTGTATACAAAGGTATATAGTTTCAAAATGTACTAATTCATATTTTTACCCCCACTCATATATTTTTTAAATTGTGGTAAAATATGGATATTGTAAAAGTTTCCATTTTAATGATTTTAATATGCAATTCAGTGGCATTAATTACATTCACAGTGCTATACAACCATTACCACTACATGCTCTTTTTCAAAATGTGTTTTTAATTGACAAGTACAAATTATATGTATTTGTAGTGTACAACACAATGTTTGTGTGTGTGTGTGTATTTATATATATATATATATATAAAACTTAAGATTAACTTCCATACACACATATCCACACACATTGTGGCATGGCAAATTATAGGTATATGATATATTGTTATTATCTGTAGTCATGTGCAATAGATCTATCTCTCCCCCCCCCCCACTCTGCTATTTGGAGGCAGTGTGCTAAGTTGCTGGGGTTAGTCTCAAACTTTTGATCCTTCTGCCTCAGCCTTCTGTGTGGCTGGAATTACAGGCTTGCACCACTGCGCCTGGCTACAATAGATCTCTTAAACTTACTCCTTCTAACTAAAATTTTGTGTGCTTTGACCAATATTTCCCTAACCTCCCACCACTCTCCCCCCAGCCCCTGGTAACTACCATTCTACTCTCTACTTCTGGGAGTTGAACTTTTTTATATTTCATATAAAGATTAACTCATATATTTGCTTTTCTGTGCCTGGCTTATTTCACATAACATAATGTCCTTCAGGTTCATCCACATTATAAGTATATTTTATTTATCCATTCATCATTGATGGAAATTAAGGTTGATCCCATCATGCTAACTTTTTTAATGTGGTGCTGAGAATCAAACCCAGTGCCTCATGCATGAGGGGCAAGTACTCAACCACTGAGCTACAATCCAGCCCCCCATCATGCTACCTTAACTCTAATAAAAAGCTTCTTTACTTGATAATTTGAATTGCATATTCTTAGCTGCAGATTGATTTTATTTAAATTAACCATGTTAGTATTTGAAAATGCAGCATAAATATATATAAGATTAACTTCCACATAATTATATTTTAAATGAGAACAATAGTATTAAATCAGTCAAGAGAGGCATGCTTGTCAATCTTTTTGATTCATTTTTATTCGTAATTTTAGGTCATTGTCTTCTAAGAAATGTATATATTTCTAGTTTTGCTATCAAATAGTCCAACTGCAGTATTTTGTTTTGGGTTTTTTTGTTTTGTTTTGTTTTTTTGGTACTGGGGATTGAACTCAGGGGCATTCGACCCCTGAACCACACCCCAGCCCTTTTATGTATTTTATTAGAGATGGGGTCTCACTGAGTTGCTTAGCACCTCTGTTTTGCTGAGGCAGTCTTTGAACTTTCCATCCTTTTATCTCATCCTCCCTAGCCACTGGGATTACAGGCATGCACCACCATGCCTGACCCCTTTACACTGAGCTTGCTTAAATTATTTTAGTAAAAGTTATGTTTTCAAAAGATGGACCAGTAGATTGATAATTGATTGTTTTTTAGGTTTTAGAATTAAATAGAATATCTTACATAACCTCTCCCACCCTCCAATTTTAGTTGAGTACCTTAAATGAGGTTTCTAATTTTACCATGTATGTCATGATTTTAAGAAACTACCTATTTTTTTTAAAGCATGAATGATATTGGAGTCATTTCTTCTGTCAGGCTGTGCCAGGGCTTGGATAGAGATGCTGCTTTTCTTCTTGCCCTGTGGAGCAGGTTTCTTTGGATCAGATCTTCCTAGACATTTGTTTCCAGTCACGGGTGGCAGCCTGGCTATTCTGAGGAAAGCTAGTTATTGCTTTTCACTTGAGGGGTAAGGTTGAGTCAGGTCTTCTCCTTAATTGCCGGAATGGGTTTCTAGTGCGTGTTGTCTGTTTCTCTTCTATTCACTCTGCTAAACTTTGAGTTTTATCTTAACTCCATTTATACCTCTATGTTGTAGGTGATTTAGGGCTCCTAAATGTTTACTTGGCCGTGCTTTAGCCTGTAGTTTCTATGTTTCTTGGACTTGCTTCAGTTCATCTTCCTTTCTTTGCCTCATTTTGCCCAGTTCCTGCTGACTACCACATTCTTTCAGGCTACATTGCCCACCAGTCCCACTTCACAACAAATCAAAATCAGACTACAGGCCATCATCATAGGACAGAGGAATTTGTGTCCTAAAGGGAGCCACAACCTTTAGGCTTAGGCTGTTTATATCATCATAGTTAAAATCCAGTATGGGTCATAGCCCTGCCTTCCTGTTGCCTTTCACTGACATCCAACTGCTTTGTAAGTGGTCCCAACATGCTGGATTTTTAAAGATCAGGCTCTCCTACAATTCCAGTGTCTAATACTCTTTTTCTTAGGGCTACTTTTCTGGATCCTACTTCACATATCCTTGTAGTATAGCTTACTTTGACCCGGGCTTTTCCAGTCTGTCAGTGCCTGCAAGCAAGCCATAACCATGCTTTTTATAGAATTGTATTTGAACAAAACCCAGCTCTATGAGCACAGCACTAAATTGGGTACCCTACTATTAGTACCCTACTTAACAGTTAGGCTCTGCTTTTCTAACCTTTAGGGAAGGAAATGCAGCTACTCTATTTCTGCCAAGGTCTGAGCTAGGGTATTTAAAGCTAACTTGGTCTTTAAGCTGTCCCAGTAGTGTTGTGCTACTCTGAAAACCCATTCCATGTGGATAAACTGATGGCTTAGACCTACCAGTGCATTTTACCCGTGCCCTAAAGAAGGGGACAAAGGCCTGAAATCATTGGTGTTCTCTAATGTTACCTCCCTTTTTTTCCTTAAAACTAGGGACACTTTTGCTCAAATAGGATTACTATGTGTGAGGTAGCATTTATATCACTTTTTTGTTGTGTTAATGATCAAAACCAGGGCCTCATCCATGCTAAGCAAGCATTCTACCACTGGGCTACATCCCCCAGCTCACATTTACAACACTTTTTATCCCAAGCTTTAGCATCACAGGGAACTTTGAAGGTCCTACCCTAGAGAGACTTCTTAGTCTGGGTAGCATCTCTAGACACTTAGGCTTTTTGCCATGTGGAGTTCATTTTTTTGGCAGTTATTACACTGCCACCTAGATTAATTAAGGATGCATGATTAAGTAATTGAGATACCCTAAAATTAGATATAAAGCTACTCATTTACACATGTCTCAAAGTCCACTAGGAATATTTAGATTGTTCTTATCTGGACGCCTCACCCTCCCACCGTATTGGAATGCCTAGGCTCATCATTCATGGCTGGAACATCTTGCATTCCTTATCTATAGTACAGTTTGTTTCTGTGCCACCGGACAGTGTTTTTCCTGTCTGCAACAAAGAAGAGCCTTGGGGAAAGGTGGGGATGGATCCTAAACATCCTCCTAATATGTCCTCCTCTTCTTCCACTTCCCATATGGTGGATGCCTACAAAGTAGCATGATTCCCAAGCAGAAGAATTCCTTATTCATCACACACTTGTCATATTAATCCCATTTGGCAACCTGAATCCCCTTTACTGGGTTTCTTTTTTTCTTAGATTCTGTTCTTAGATTGGAAGATGGAAGTTGTCTATTACTTCCTGAAATAAGGCTTGTCTTTTATCCACTAGTGTTCAGAAGTGCCCTCATTAAATTTCTTCTGCTTACCCCAGAAAGGCTTTTTAGAAACTCTTGAGGATCTGATTATGTATCAGAACAGGACAAATAACCTAGTCAGAATTCATGAAGCACCTCTGGGAATGTTGCCTCCGAAAAACTCTCAGCAATTGTGCATTTGGTTAGGAAGGCACAGAGTGCCTAAGCACCATAGATTATCCAGAAAACCTCATAGATTATGCCTGTAAGCTAAGTGCCTACCAGATTTCTGCCCATGGAAAAGAAGGAAAGAGAGGAGAGGGCATGAAGACAACGTAGAAAGGAAGTTAGAGACTGGAATTTGTGGTTTGGGGGGTTGAAAGAAATTGTGGAAGTCCTGGAGTACAAAGATATGATGGGAACCAAGATCAGACAAATCCCCAAGGATTTATTGTATACCTGCCAATGTCTGAGCTGAAGTGTGCCAGGTGCAGAGTAAGTGTAAGGATATCATTGCATTTGAGCATTTATGATCTAGAGCCTCTGGTTTCACTACCTACCCCTCTGACCTCCCTGTCTTACTTGGTGATTTCTCTTTCTCCAAACATTCTTTTTAAATGTAAGCATTTCCTGGTGTGATATTTGTTATTCTCCTTCCTAAATCCTTCCACATGCCTTGATTACCCTTACCTCTTCCCAAGATTTCACTGTCACTTTTGTTAATGTCTTCCATCCTGACTGCTTCCCAGACCTCCAGATGTTCAGCTGCCTCCCAGATACCATCACATGCATATCCTAAAAACACCTCAGATTTAATATGTTCAAAGTCACGCTTGTATTGAAACATGCTGCAGCATGGATGACCCTTAAAAATATGCTAAATGACAGAACCTAAGCCAAACACAAAAGGCCACCTTATTGTATGGTTCCATTCTTATGAAATGTCTAGGACAGGCAAACCCATAGAGACAGAAAGTAGAGTAGTTATTGCCAGGGATCAAGGGATTAGGAGAAAAATCGGGGGTAGGGTATGAGGTTTCTTTTTA